TAAACAATACGCAGCCACAAATCCAGCCTTACAGAAAGTAATTGGAGGAAAATCACTAACCAAGGAGTCCAACAATGACCACAATACCTCAGACATCTAGAGACCCTTCACCAACACAAAACAAAGAAGGGAAACTCACAAACTCTACGACTAAAAAAAAAAATGACCGGAGTTAACAACCACTGGTCATTAATATCACTTAATGTCAATGGACTCAACTCACCTATAAAAAGGCACAGGCTAAGAGATTGGATAAGAAAACAGGATCCAACATTCTGCTGTTTACAAGAAACACACCTCAACCACAAAGACAGGCACCTACTCAGAGTAAAGGGCTGGGAAAAGGCCTTTCAAGCAAATGGTCCTAAGAAACAGGCAGGTGTGGCCATACTAATCTCTAACAAAGTTGACTTTAAACTTAAATCAATCAGAAGAGATGGAGAGGGGCATTTTATACTCATAACAGGAACAGTTCATCAGGATGAAGTCTCAATCCTGAACATCTATGCCCCTAATATAAAAGCACCCACGTACATAAAAGAAACATTGCTAAAATTCAAGGCAGCCATCAAACCGCACACACTAATAGTAGGAGACTTCAACACTCCTCTCTCACCAATGGACAGGTCAATCAGACAGGAACCTAACAGAGAAATAAGAGAATTAGTGAAGGTAATGAATCAAATGGACTTAACAGACATCTATAGAACATTCCATCCAAATAGGAAAGAATATACCTTCTTCTCTGCAGCTCATGGAACCTTCTCGAAAATCGACCACATAGTCGGTAACAAAGCAAACATCCACAGTTACAAAAAAATATTAGTAACCACCTGTGTCTTATCAGATCACCATGGATTAAAGTTAGAATTCAACAATAATGCTACCCCCAGAAAGCATACAAAGTCATGGAAACTGAACAGTCAACTATTGAACCATAGCTGGATTAAGGAAGAAATAAAGAAAGAAATTAAAGTCTTCCTGGAATTCAATGAAAATAAAGAAACAACATACTCAAACTTATGGGACACTATGAAAGCAGTCCTAAGAGGAAAGTTCATAGCACTAAGTGCCCACTTAAAGAAAACAGAGAAAGCTCACATTGGAGACTTAACAGCCCACCTGAAAGCTCTAGAAAAAAAAGAAGCAGACTCACCTAGGAGGAGTAGAAGACTGGAAATAATCAAACTGAGGGCTGAAATCAACAAAATAGAAACACAGAAAACAATACAAAAAATCAATGAAACAAAAAGCTGGTTCCTGGAGAAAATCAACAAGATTGACAAACCACTATCCAAGCTAATCAAACGGCAGAGAGAGAATTTGCAAATTAATAAGATCAGAAATGAAAAGGGGGACATAACCACAGACACAGAGGAAATTCAGAGAATCATTAGATCTTACTACAAAAGCCTATATGCCACAAAATTGGAAAATGTAAAGGAAATGGATACTTTTTTAGATAAATATCATATACCAAAGTTAAATCAGGACCTGGTGAACAATCTAAATAGACCTGTTAGTCGCGAAGAATTAGAAGAGGTTATCAAAAACCTCCCTACCAAAAAAAGCCCAGGACCAGATGGTTTCAATGCGGAATTCTACCAGATCTTCCAAGAAGATCTAATACCTATACTCCTTAATGTATTCCACAAGATAGAAACAGAAGGGTCATTACCAAACTCCTTTTATGAAGCCACAATTACTCTGATACCAAAACCACTCAAAGACTCAACCAGGAAAGAGAACTACAGGCCAATCTCACTCATGAATATCGACGCAAAAATCCTCAACAAAATACTGGCAAATCGAATCCAAGAACACATCCGAAAAATTATCCATTATGATCAAGTAGGCTTCATTCCTGAGATGCAGGGCTGGTTCAACATACGAAAATCTATCAATGTAATCCAGCATATAAATAAACTGAAAGAAAAAAACCATATGATCATTTCATTAGATGCTGAAAAAGCATTTGACAAAATTCAACATCCATTTATGTTAAAAGTCTTGGAGAGATTAGGGATACAAGGGTCATACCTAAATATAATAAAAGCTATATACAGCAAGCCGACAGCTAACATCAAATTAAACGGAGAGAAACTCAAAGCCATCCCACTTAACTCAGGAACACGACAAGGCTGTCCACTCTCCCCATACCTCTTCAATATAGTGCTTGAAGTTCTAGCAATAGCAATAAGACAACATAATGGAATCAAGGGGATTCGAATTGGAAAGGAAGAAGTTAAACTTTCGTTATTTGCAGATGATATGATAGTGTACATAAGCGACCCCAAAAACTCCACCAAAGAACTCCTACAGCTGATAAACAGCTTTAGTAATGTGGCAGGATACAAGATCAACTCCAAAAAATCAGTCGCCCTCTTATACACAAAGGATATGGAAGCAGAGAGGGAAATCAGAGAAGCTTCACCATTCACAATAGCCAAAAACAGCATAAAATATCTTGGGGTACATCTAACCAAGGAAGTGAAAGATCTATTTGACAAGAACTTTAAGACATTGAAGAAAGAAATTGAAGAGGATACCAAAAAATGGATGGACCTCCCTTGCTCTTGGATTGGGAGGATCAACATAGTAAAAATGGCAATTCTACCAAAGGCTATTTATAGATTCAATGCAATCCCCATCAAGATCCCATCAAAATTCTTCACAGATCTGGAGAGGACAATAATCAACTTTATATGGAAAAACAAAAAACCCAGGATAGCCAAAACAATCCTATACAATAAAGGATCTTCTGGAGGCATTACCATCCCTGACTTCAAACTCTATTACAGAGCTACAGTAATGAAAACAGTGTGGTACTGGCATAAAAACAGAGAAGTCGACCAATGGAATCGTATAGAAGACCCGAATTTTATCCCACAAACCTATGAACACCTGATTTTCGATAAAGGAGCTAAAAGTATAAAATGGAAGAAAGAAAGCATCTTCAACAAATGGTGCTGGCACAACTGGATGTCATCTTGTAGAAGAATGAAAATAGACCCTTATCTATCACCGTGCACAAAACTCAAGTCCAAATGGATTAAAGACCTCAATATCAGCCCGAACACACTGAACCTGATAGAAGAGAAAGTGGGAAGTACCCTACAGGAGCTGGGCACAGGAGATCGCTTCCTATGTATAACCCCAGAAGCACAGACATTAAGGGCAACATTGAATAAATGGGACCTACTTAAACTGAGAAGCTTCTGTAAAGCAAAGGACATAGTCAATAAGACACAAAGGCAACCTACTGATTGGGAGAAGATCTTCACCAACCCCACAACAGACAAAGGTCTGATCTCCAAAATATATAGAGAACTCAAGAAACTAGACTTTAAAATGCTAATTAACCCAATTATAAAATGGGGCACTGAACTGAACAGAGAATTCTCAGCAGAGGAAGTTCAAATGGCCAAAAGACACTTAAAGTCGTGCTCAACTTCCTTAGCAATCAGGGAAATGCAAATCAAAACAACTTTGAGATATCATCTTACACCTGTCAGAATGGCTAAAGTCAAAAACACCAAGGATAACCTTTGCTGGAGAGGCTGTGGAGGAACGGGTACCCTCATCCATTGCTGGTGGGAATGCCATCTTGTGCAACCACTGTGGAAGTCAGTGTTTCGGTTTCTCAGGAAATTCGGGATCAACTTACCCCTGGACCCAGCAATACCACTCCTGGGAATATACCCAAGAGATGCTCTATCATATGACAAAAGCATTTGTTCAACTATGTTCATAGCAGTATTATTTGTAATAGCCAGAACCTGGAAACAACCTAGATGCCCTTCAATGGAAGAATGGATGAAGAAAGTATGGAATATATACACGCTAGAGTACTACGCTGCGGTAAAAAACAATGACTTCTCGAATTTTGCAGGCAAATGGATGGAAATAGAAAACACTATCCTGAGTGAGGTGTCCCAGACCCAAAAAGATGAACATGGGATGTACTCGCTCATAATTGGTTTCTAGCCATAAATTAGGGCCACGGAGTCTACAATAGGTGAACCTAAAGAAGCTAAGTAAGAAGGTGAACCCAAGGAAAAACATATAGTTATTCTCTTGGCTAAGAACCTTCATCTGGTGATGGATGGAGACAGAGACAGAGACCCACACTGGAGCACTGGACTGAGCTCCCAAGGTCCCAATGAGGAGCAGAAGGAGGGAGAACATGAGCAAAGAAGTCGGGACCACGAGGCGTGCACCCACCCACTGAGACAGTGGAGCTGATCTACTGGGAGCTCACCAAGGCCAGCTGGACTGTGACTGAAAAAGCATGGGATAAAGCCAGACTCTCTGAACATGACGAACAATGAGGGCTGATGAGACACCAAGGACAATGGCACGGGGTTTTGATCCTACTTAATGTGCTGGCTTTGTGGAAGCCTAGCCAGTTTGGATGTTCACCTTCCTAGATATGGACGGAGGGGGGAGGACCTGGGACTTGCCACAGGGCAGGGAACCTGGACTGCTCTGTGGACTGGAGAGGGAGGGGGAGAGGAGTGGGGGGAGGGGTAGAAGGTGGGAGGAGGGGGAGAAGGGTGGGAGGAGGGGGAGGGAGATGGGAGGCTGGGAGGAGGTGGAAACTTGTTTTTTGTTTATGTTTTTTTTCTTCTTTTCTTAATAAAAAAATTATTAAAAAAAAAAAAAAAAAAAAAAAAAAGAATTGGATTACAAAAAAGGATTAAATTACAATCATGACCAAGTACAAAATCATCAATATTAACTAATTATCTTATGATTCAAGAAAGTAGTATGTCTGAGATACAAAATACAAAGTTCAAAAAATCAGAGTGCCAATATAAATTTTGTATTAATTTCTATTAATTTCTCTGTCTTAATATTGTACAATTCTGCAAGTTCTAATAATAAAGACTAAAATCTGTGGTCTTACTTAAAATACTACTAGTTTATTGAAAAAACTGAAATCCCTTTCAAATCACAAAGCAATAAATAATCAACCAGCTTGCATCAATGTCTCTTACCTGTCCAAGTATTTGTGGAAAGGAAGTCTTAATTGTCACCTAGTATAAAATAATTGTTTAAAAAAAGAGATTAATTTTCACAAATGCATTTCATGTTTTATTAAATAGACTACATCTGCATATCCTTTAAATATGGTGATTTCTGAACAATCACACAAGAGATCTTCCAGAACGTCCCAAACCATACTAACTGTCTAAAGGACAGTTTTCCAATCTGTATATTTTGTAATATACTTGCTCCTCAACGGTAAAAACTAGCAATTCTTAAAACCCAGATTTCCCTACAGAATACCATCCGTGAAGTCTAGGAGATGCAAATAAATTCTTTACAGAGGTGCACCCGAAACTTGGCGGGAAGGACAGATCCCGCCAGTGTGCTAGCTCCTGTTCCGCCCTACAGAAGAGACTCCCATTACAGAATTACTGATGTATGTCAACCAGGAATAAGATATTTCACATAAGCCAGGGTGGCATTACGCCACCACTGAAAAGCATACAGATCTTTAGGAAATACAAAAGCCTTAAACTAAACCAGTACTGGTATAAACCAGTATGCACCATGACTGTTCCTATAGTTAACTATAATATACTATACTATATAGCATGACGGCTAATTAAATGAAGCTCTTCAATTTAGGAAAGATTCTTGATTCTGGGCTTTAAAATTTAGAATAACCTTTTCGTAAATTTAAAGTTTGGAATATATTCTAATTATTTAGACCACTAAGCTTCCTCTTCTTTTTTATGATGCTCACATGCTCATACAATCTACTTGCAGAAATACTAAAGAAACAAAGTGGAAAATATTTAGCAGTTTCATTTCTCATATTTATGGGCTTCTACATCAGCTAATAGAAAAAAAGACCTCCGTCTGTCTATAACTAAACCATACTTAGTGATGCAAACGTATGTCTTACCTCATATTTACAGTCTGGCACTGTGTACATTTTTAACAACGCCACGTGGCTGTCGTTTTCCGGCTGAGCAACGTGAAGTTTCAGAGAAATTTCTGTGGACGATGGAACCCTGAAGAGATTATGGAAATATCAGTCCTCAAATATAAAACGCTGGCCAACAGCCAAGGCCCAGCCAGTTCTCAGCACAATATAAGGAACTAACGTAGAGGAAGGGAAACGACAGAGACATTATTGCGTGTGGACACCTCCATGCACACTACAGTTATTTGGCTCCCCCCCCCCCCCCCAGCACTTGTGGAGTTGTGGAAATAAAGGTAAGACACACATGTCCAAGCAAGACGTAAGTGCTCGGTTCTTCCAATAGATTATTGTACATCTATGTTAAAGGACATGACATTAAAGGATACATACACTGTCCTAAAAGGATTTTAATAATGCATATGACTTAAATAAACAAAGCACAGGTTCCACTTTAAGACACAGAAGTTAAGTAAATTCTTTCATGTACTTACTGTGCGATGGTTAGAGAATCTTCGTAAGACCAGGGAATATGAAGCTTATAGATACTGGTTTTTTCTTCTGTTAAGAAACCAAGGGGAGAAGCGTTACTCTTGAGTGTTACCTTAACTTGTATGCCAACTATAAGACTACTGTATATAAAGTGTCCACTTTACAAAAAGATGGGTGCACAGGAAGGATTACTGAATATCAGACTCATAAAAATATTAAAGCAAATTAGTACTAAAAATCTAAAACAAAATTCAAGAGCCAAACCTGAACCTGCTGTAAAAAAAAAAAAAAAAAAACAAAAACCTACAGTACTTTAACTTTTTTTAAAAAAAATTATGATTACTAATATGTTTGCGTATGAAGCTTGCATGTGAGCACACATGGTTGTTGGAGGTCAGAGTACTTCTTAAGGGTCATTCATTTCTTCCAGCTTTACATGGCATGTTCTGGGAATGGCTGAGCTATCTCACCCATCCCCAAAATACATAGACCTTTTAAACACATGAATGTGGTTTAGTATGAAGAAAGAGCCTAGGATAAATTCCTCGAGAATAGAAACATGTCCCTATGATCATATATTTAATTTTACTCTATATAAAATATATGAAAGAAAAAAAGATGAAATAAGCATTCTAGAGACTTGGAAGCCACCCACTGGGCTCCTCACATGGAACGCACACACTCACCTTTGGTTCTGGAGCACTTGCTCACCACGTTGACTTTAAAAGCTTGGTATATCTGATGAAGTTTGACAAAGACAAAAACCCAAAGTTGACTTGTTTAATGAAGCAAATTTATTTAATGGGCAAATGAAGATGAAATTCTTCCTGCTCTACTCAAGAGAATTACCTGTTCAAAGTTCAGAAGCTCTATATTGTAGTACAGGCCACTCAGATTTAACATGACCTTCCTTGAAGTCAATCCTGTTGAATGGAAAGTACTGCATTATTTAGAAGCTGGAGAATTTTCAAAAATAGACTGATTGCTTAAAAAGCATTTAAAATTAACAAGAGAACTTTGAAATTAGGAGAAAATTTGTTAGGATGTGGTGTGGTGTGGTTGTGTATGAGCAGGGGTGATGAACTTTTGAAGCCACCTGGGCTACAACGGAGACTGTCTAAAATAGAAGTTAACAGGCCTTCGCTGCTGATATAAAGGAAGCAAAAAATAAATTCTCATGCAGAAAATGCTGAATAAAACAGTACTTATAATGACTTTCTGATGCTGGAGGTATTTTTTTAAAGTCAAGTACTTATTTCCAAGTTTAGGAAGATGTGTTTTCTAAAGCATGCCATTTAACTGAAACAGGTAATTCAGAGTCATTACCTTTGTATTTTTCTGAGCATTTTGTACTCCAAACAGGGACCCAGGTGGGGGAAGGGGGATAAAAACCTTAAAGGAAGTTTCCTATCCCTTTCACGAAAGGGATACACGCACATGTGTACGCATGTGTCTGTGCACATGTGTGAAGGACGCAGCATACGAAAAGGTAGAGTAATGACGCTAAAGGAGCCCCTGAAAGCCAAGGCTGGGACAACCAAAGCATGAGCACATCTAACCCTGTTATAACCCAGGAATAAAATATCCATGCGAAGTAAGCACTCCGCCATTGAGCTAGGCCCACCCAAAATATATACCCAGGAATCCATACGGTCTCAAAAATAAATGAATAAATAAGAGAGATGAGGCTACTCTATCTCAGACAGGATTTCAATAAATGGAGAATACAATAGTAATTACTTGCTAAAGACTAAGTGACCCACTGTATGCTAAAATTAATTAGTTGAACATTTTTTCAAATGATTTCTTCCATGATATTTATTAATGGTAATGGTAAAACAGTAACTGCATAGTATAGAAATTAGTAGACACCACCTTAATTAACCAAAGGTAAAAATTAACACCACAGCAATTAGATTTATTAACATTGTGCATCTTGACACATTAGGAAAGCACATTAATTCTGTGTTGTTCTTGGCAAAAATACTTAAGCTCAACCTGAAAATGTCACAATAGCAAACAAATCCAAATGAAGGGATGTTCTACAAGTCACTGAGTACTCTTGAAATGCTTAAAATTGATAAAGGTCATGGGAAGACTGAGGAATTGACTTGAGTTACAGGAAACACAATCAAACCCAATGCACGACCCTAGAGGAGGACCAGAAGCAAAAGCTGGCAATAAATAAGGCCTGCTTAGGTTATTAAATATCATAACAATACTAATTTAGGTTCAAAACTATATTGTGGGGCTGAGAACAGCTGGGTTCCCGAGAAGTGAACTCAGAAGGTATGTTTTCTCATTGCTTTTTCTATATGACCAAGGCATCTTAGAAAGCAAAGTCTCCAATGAAAAGACATAACAGCAAAGCCGAGGCCTGGAGCCTGGAACAGCCGAGACCTCACATCTTGATCCCAAAGAAGGAGGGAGGCAGAGAGAGATTGGAAATCACAGCCAGCTTTTGAAACCTCAAAGCCCAGGCTTTTGACACCTGTAAGCGCACCTACGCGGAATACTTCTTCAAGCAAGGCCACACCTCCTATCCTTTTTAAATTGTTCCTCTCACTGGGGACAAAGTATTGGAAGACAGGAGCCCACAGGGGCCGTTCTCATTCCAAATCACCTCTGTATTTTTCCATATTAGATAAACTTGCAGTAACCACACGCTTCTATATGTGTAGACTATTATGTGAAATTTTTACCAAATCTGGTTGCATTTTATAGTTTTTTTCCATAGAACTAGCTTTGGTTTTTATTGCGTGAACAAGTCTTGTTTATTTCTCTTTCTGATTCTGTGCTTGTGGCTTCAGCACGGTCATCCTGACTTTTCTGCTTATCCATAGGAAACCACACTTGGTTCTGTCATGGACACATAGTATATCTAGATTGCTGTCTGTCTTATGAAGGACTCATGACTACATGTTATGAGTTTTTATGTGTATGAGTGTTTGCCTGTATGTATATATGTGTGCCATGTGTGTGCAGGACCTGTGGAGGCCAGAAGAGGGGATTGGGACTGGACTTACAGGTGGTTGTGAGCCACTGTGTGGTTGCTGGGAGCTGACTGGACTTGAGTCTTCTAGAAGAGCAGGCAGTACTCTTAGCCACTGAGCCAGCTCTCCACCCCCCAATTAAATGTTCCTATGAGCTTTATTATGAAAGAATTTTAGACCCATAGTTGTTATGAAAGAGTACAGATTTCTTTTATATCCTTTACCAATCTTTTCCTGATATTGACCTCTTTCTTAAATACAATCCTTTGTTTTGTTCTGTTGTTTGTTGTTTTGTTTTGTTGTTAACAATGGCTTGCTATGTGGCAGGCTACCCTTAAAACTTGTAAGTCTCCTGCTTCAGTCTCCTGAGGGCTAGGATAGAGCCTTCTCTGCCATGTTTGTCTAACATAATCTCTTTTATTTTTTTTTAATTATCTCTGTGTGTATCTGTATCTAGGCATGTGTACATGAATGTAGGTACCTGCTGAGGCTAAAGGTGTCAGATCCCTTGGAGGTGGAATTAGTTGTGATGTGGTTTCTGGCCTAGCATTCAGCGAGGATCTGACCACTTAACCTGACTACATACTTTCCTGAGAACTATACTTGAAACATACTAATATTTAATATTCTGTGACTGGCAAAATAAATTGGCACTGCGAAAATGATGCTTAAGCTTCAAAAATGAAATACTTACCAAAGGAAAAAAGATGAGTTACAGGAAGCTGTATGGATCTTGCTTCTTTTTTAAAGAATTCACAGTCTAAGAAAAACTGAGATACAACATTAATTTATTAGAAAATACAGAATTCAACTTAGCAAAAAATCTTGACATTTGTGTGAGAAAAAAAAATAAAACCTTAGCTTTGGAGAAAGCACCATGGATTATACTGTAGCTCTGGCAAGAATCCCTCAAGCAGATGCTATGCTAAGAAGACTAGGTAAGCAATCTCTCAATCGAATATATCAAATTATCTGAAGGTCATTTTTATAACAAAGTCATTGCAAAGGTTTATTATAACATCGGTGTTTATTAAAGAGTAGATCAAAGCACTGAGATACAAAATAATCTAAGATTAATTAAGGGTTTAGATAATATGTCTCTGAGTACTTTCCTAGTCAAAAGGGGAATGTAACTTTGTTACTTATGATTTTTTTATTAAATACTATAAATTTTAATCTACAGTTTTAATCAGGTTGTAAAAGGCATCTGTAGTCACTCATCTACATTCATCTATAGCTAATGCTGTTTATGAGAATATTACAGTTGAGGCAGTTATTACAGAAAATGGGAAAAATGAATTCTCACTTAGGAATACATGTGCTTCCCCCCCCCCCCCCCACAAATGGAAACCTAGAATGTGGCATGCCACTACAATTTTTATTTTGACAACATTTTCTTTATCTAGCAACATGTCCAGACATGTGCAGGGAGCCTGTTTCGGCATTCTGCAGAAGGAACAGTTCCTGGAAGGCACAAGGGTGTAAAGAATCAGCGCCACAGGATTGTTTTGGCCAGTAGGAGGAGAAGAAAAATAAATGAATATAACCCTCATGACAGTTAGAAGACCGTTTTCTGTCTCAAGAGAATGGTCGTCACCGGAGTCCACCCCAGGCTTTCGTGACGACTCCACCTTCGGTGTCTCCGCTATGGTAATGCCTCTGCCCACAGAGGAACTGGTTGGTTGTTTCTGAATTTGGACAGGAGGTGGGGGAGACTTCCCCATGTGTGGTGCTGAGAAACAAAACCACCATGCTAAGGGCTTTGCTCTCATTCCTTCTCAGAAGCCAAACAAGAAATCCTCCCACTACAGAAAACAGCCACGCCAGGACTAGAGACCACTGAGTGAACAGGATCATCCGTATTTTACAGAGTACGTTTGGGGGGAGATCGTGAGATGGTGAAGTGGCTTGCAAAAGCAGTTCCAACCGTTGTACCTGAAGGTATTCAAATACTAGGATCTTTTTTTAATACCTTAAAATGTGGCTGTGCTCTTAGCTTTGCGTAGCGAAACAGATCCTGAACCAAGAAAGGCAGAACCCAAAGGTATCTCTCTAAAATATCTAATGTCGGTTTCTGGGCTTGCCGATGGGTTTGTGATCACAGGGAATTGCAGCTAAATTCCACACTGCAGTTCCCAAACCATAAAGCTGTTAAGGATCTGTATTTATTCTACGTAGTTCACAGGGAGGGGACTTTCTAATGACAACACCAGGGGGCTCACCACTCTGGCCATCACTTTAGATAATCCTGTATCTGTTCAGAAATCATCAAGAAATAGTTTCACATCAGCATCCTCCGCGCATGCCCACAGAACCCTTAACAGGTCTGTTACCTTACTTCCGTGGACAGACGGCCCCCGCACATGCCCACAGAACCCTAACAGGTCAGTTACCTTACTTCCGTGGACAGACGGCCCCGCGCATGCCCACAGAACCCTTAACAGGTTTGTTACCTTACTTCGGTGGACAGACGGCCCCGCGCATGCCCACAGAACCCTTAACAGGTCAGTTACCTTACTTCGGTGGACAGACGGCCCCGTGCATGCCCACAGAACCCTAACAGGTCAGTTACCTTACTTCGGTGGACAGACGGCCCCGTGCATGCCCACAGAACCCTTAACAGGTTTGTTACCTTGCTTCGGTGGACAGACGGCCCCGTGCATGCCCACAGAACCCTAACAGGTCAGTTACCTTACTTCGGTGGACAGATGGCCCCCGCACATGCTCACAGAACCCTAACAGGTCAGTTACCTTACTTCCGTGGACAGATGGCCCCCGCACATGCCCACAGAACCCTAACAGGTTTGTTACCTTGCTTCCGTGGACAGATGGCCCCCGCGCATGCCCACAGAACCCTAACAGGTCAGTTACCTTACTTCCGTGGACAGGAGGGATGTAGATAATAATGTGTGACAGAAACGGGTAGTCTTGGAGCCTTAGCATCAGAGACTGAAAGACAGCAGTGAAGATAGAGTCTTTTACTTCTGAGGCAGAAAACGCATGTCAAAGAAAAATTATAAAAACTTACTTCTCAGCCGGGCGGTGGTGGCGCACGCCTTTAATCCCAGCACTTGGGAGGCAGAGACAGGCGGATCTCTGTGAGTTCGAGACCAGCCTGGTCTACAAGAGCTAGTTCCAGGACAGGCTCCAAAACCACAGAGAAACCCTGTCTCGAAAAGACAAAAAAAAAAAAAAAATCTAAAAAAAAAAAACTTACTTCTCGATGAGTTATTTTAAAAATCGTCTCTTAAAACACTCACTTAATAGGCACGAGGCCCTGAATTTAGCTTTCAGCTTATCCCCGCATTCCCCCCCAACACACACACAAATCAGGTTTATATCCACCCCATCAATAACCCTATAAAAGACAAATTTACAGGAACTACTATTAAATATAAATCACCTAAGATATTCCTTGAATATCTCTTCACATAGAACAAAGGATGCTTAACATTAAAGCTAATGATTTTGCATAATCATTTCCAAGTGCGATATATTAACTGTAATTTGGCTATCTGTTGCAGAAAACGTTATGGTTTTATTTCGACATTTATGGTGTTAAATGTGAGGGAAAACTTAGCAACTTAATCTCCAAGGACTCGGACTGAGATGAAATAGCAAAGAGTCACAGGCTAAATACATAAACACCATTCAATAAAATTCGTTCAGTAGGTGACGAAGACACACTGCTAATGATGCATCTCACCAAATAACAACCAACTGGTTCTACCACAGAAAAATGAAGACCAGATTTTATAGTCCACATTCGGGGAATGGACAAGTTAGAGACTAGCCTCTTTAACAATTGCCAAGGCTCCAACCCTTGATTTCTGGATGTGGATGGAGCATTGCAATGAATAAAAAATGTGCACATTAAGAAGTTTCTGCAGGCTGGGCGGTGGTGGAGCAGACTCTAATCCCAGCACTCGGGAGGCAAAGGCAGGCGGATCTCTGGGAGTTCGAGACCAGCCTGGTCTACAAGAGCTAGTTCCAGGACAGGCTCCAAAACCACAGAGAAACCCTGTCTCGAAAAACCAAAAAAAAAAAAAAAAAAAAAAAAGAAAAGTTTCTACAGGGGGCTGGAGAAATGGCTCAGAGGTTAAGAGCATTGCCTGCTCTTCCAAAGATCCTGAGTTCAATTCCCAGCAACCACATGGTGGCTCACAACCATCTGTAATGAGGTCTGGTGCCCTCTTCTGACCTGCAGGCATACACACAGACAGAATATTGTATACATAACAAATAAATAAATATTAAAAAAAAAAGAAGTTTCTATAGAGTTGGCTTTCCTCACTCTCTCTCAGAAACACCGACGTGGGCAGAGTCTGAAAACCTGAGAGCATCTCTCTAAAGGCCTGACAAGACACCCAACTAAGCAACAAACTCCTAAGTCCTCATGGAAACCGAAGAGTGTTCAAGGTGCCGCGTAAATTACAGCTACGGACGCTGGGGAGAGCGCATGAACGATAAATCGGTCAGGAAGAACTGAGTTGTTCCATGTGGCGGTCGGCGCTAAGGGCTCCTGAACACGGATTCTCACGACCGTTGAGAATCTGTGGCGATTTACTGGAGGACTCCGCCCATTTACTAAAGTACAGTCAGCAGAGGCACCCCAGGGTGACGATTCTCATGGTATTACTTCATAAAACCTACGGAATATTCCCACTTAACCATTTCAGCACGCTTCTCCATTTGTACACCCGTGGTGGAGAGAAAGGTTACTGCCTGGTGAGAATACAGTCACGTTGTCCTAATCAAGGAGAAAAGTCACACTTGACGGTGATCCCGAAGGCTACAAGGCTGGTCACGTGGGGGAAAACTAAGCAAACAGTGGCAGCCTGAGCCCATTAAGAGCATTTGTATTCGGGCAAAAACCTAGAAGGATGTTTAAGGTCTTTGTTAAGTCTCAACAAACACTGCTTTCTCCTTTAAGCAAGTATCCTTGCCTTCAGGATGGCCTATGCTAGTTTGCTATTTATTTATCAGTCACTTTTGCAAACAGGGTTCCGTGCACTAAGCTGGCCTTGAACTTACTGTGTAACACACATACCACAGGCCACCACACTTTGCTTTATTCCCTCGTTTTTATAGCTTAAAAGAAAACTGGGCTTCCTTAAAAGTCGCGAACACATTATATAAAATTTGTTCGCATAATGGGAAAGTTGGTTTCTGTTTAGTGTTAGCATAAGCCTGAAGACTACGGCAATCTGCTCTTCCAGAAATCACTGTTAAAAGCAGGCGGCTGGAACACCTTGTCTTCTGGCTACCCAGACATGGGATCCCTAACTTAAGAACTTAAGGGGCCTACCCTTTGGTAAACACACTTTTCAGTCTCTGTAGAATTATAGAAACAGTAGTTCCTTATGAAATTTAAATTGTATGAGAAAAGTTCTCAAGACACAGAGACAAGTCCTCAGTGGGCAGCCCCTACCGCACTCAGCTCCCTCCTCGCCTCCACTGCTGGAGACTGGGCTACAAGTGCACAACCACACCCAGCTGAGCGGTGCATTTAAAAGGCAGGGGCAGAGTGTGTTTCTTAAGGCCTTCAGGTATCCGTTTCTTTTGGAAATTATAAAAGGGATAGGATGTCCAAGTTGGAAGCGTAAGAGAATGAGAGAAGATTCTACAATTAGATCTATCCTAATGCTTCTGTCTGTCTTGCTTTTACATAGAAATTTAAGACTAAGGATAGATTTTTTTTTTAAAGATGCTATTGAGTAAAATTGCTTCTTTATACATTCGTTTTACAAATACCATTGTTAACTGTTTCCAAATAAACAGAGAGTGAACAAAGCAACCCCCCCCAAAAAAAACCCAAAAGTTTTTAAAGAGATTATTCTTCCTACATTATTCATCTTGTAAAGTTTCTCTCTAATAGTGCAATTAACACAGGGTAAATTGTTTATACAAATTAATATTCCAGTCACTCGGGCAACTGAGACAGGAGGACCATGTGTTCAATGCCTATGTGGGATATAGATAGATAGATAGATAGATAGATAGATAGATAGATAGATAGATGATAGATAGATAGATGATAGATAGATGATAGATAGATAGATAGATAGATAGATAGTCAGTCAGCAAGTACACTCAGTGAGACCCCTCCCCCATCTCAAAAATAAAAAGCAAAAGGCTGAGGATGTGTCTCAGGGATGGAGAGGACACAACTGGAGGATGGTCCCTAGTCCTGCTCCCTCAGTAGGGAAATGAGTATCTGTGAGAAAAAAAAAATTACTCAATTGGAATCAATGGGAGAGGAATGGGAGCAGCCAGACGTCTGTTTCAAGTCTGAGCTCATCAGAAGAGTGTACTTTATTTTAAGGTGTGGATTTATGTGAAAACTGAATCCACCAAACCCAGACAAGACCGTAAATTATAATACACACAAGCTTGGAAATTAGAACTGACATTATCCTCAGATTACAGGCTTATTTTGTGTTTCCCGCAGTTTATTTTGAGAATATACAAATTAGTATTTGTTAAAGAGGAAGAAGAAGAAAAATAAAAAGAGTTGCTAACTTACTGGAGTCACCTAAGGAAACCACTAACAACGATGAAGTAAATCCAGGCTGTGATTTGCCACCCTGGAGAACTAAATACAAGAGTTACCCAGCCACCTGACCACAATGTGGTGTAATCTAGAGAATTATTTGGTGTCTCTTTGAAATCTCACCTCCCACTGCAAGGTCCTTCCACCCAAATGAATTCTCAATAGAATGCACTAACTGGTTTATAGTTTAAGAAAAAAAACTGTTTAAGCATGTGCTCAAAAAAAAAAAAGTAATTTTAAAAGTGTCTCTGACTCCTTCAGTAAATGACATTACAACCGGTTCAGCAAGTTCTCAACCTACAGTTTTTAATCTCTAAAGATAAACAAAACACAGCTAATTCATTGTTTGCCGCGCCTCATCAAACACAGTTCCAAAGAAAGGACTCCTATGACTTTTTTAAAGAGCCAATTCTAAAAGGTCTACCAACTGTTTTTTTTTTTTTAACCGAAATATAAAATTCTAGGGCTAACATTTACCTTGATTGTCGGCAGCAGTTCAGCTTTCCATGATAAATCAATCCCTTGCCGGCTTTGAAATAAACATGAAGGTATGATTAGAGGGCAAATGTTCAAGTATTATAATTTGTGAAGAAACTTCAGAGCAAAGAGAAAAAGATCTGCATCCCTGGAAGTGAGAGACTGTATGGCTGCCATGAGGGTAGAGTCTGTATACAAGTTCATGAAGCTCCCTTAGCAAAAAAAACAAAACAAAACAAACCAGGGATCTGTGAGTTCGAGACCAGCCTGGTCTACAAGAGCTAGTTCCAGGACAGGCTCCAAAACCACAGAGAAACCCTGTCTCGAAAAAAACAAAAAAAAAAAACAAAAAAAACAAAAAAAAACAAACCAGGGAGGTGAGTCAGTGGGAAGAAGCACCTGCAAGGGCGAGCTTGACAGCCTGAACTTTATACATATACCATGGCGTGTGTACTCATGCACGCATGCGCACACACAGAGCACATGAACACACATATATACACATGCACGCAGCAGGCACATGCATGAACACACACTGCATACACACGCGCCCAGAGCACAAACACACGCAATCATAGATGCACACACATGCACTGTATAACACATGCACACAATAATCAAAATTTAAAATATAAAAATTACAATTTGATACAGCAGCAAAAACGATCATATAACGAGCATACAAAGTGCCGTTTGTTGTGATTCGTGTCTATAATCTCAGCACTGGGGAAGCTGATGCAGGAGAATAACGCTCAGTTCCAGGCCAGCCAGAGTACACAGTATGTTCCAGGACATCCCAGGCTACAGAATGGGACCTTATCTCAAAAATCAAAGAGAAAAAAATATTGTGTGTGTGTGTGTGTATGTGTGTACATGCGCGCACATATATGCACGTATGTATACATACACACATATACCTTTTCTGAAACTGTAATTTCTGAGCACTATTTGTGTTAAGAAAAAATGAACAAGTGATCCCAAAACTTACCACATAGATGATGTGCTGTTTATACAGCCAAAAATCCAACTATTTGTATCCTGTTGGTTAATAATAGAAAACAGTGTTATAAAACAAGCATCTCAAATACAAACCGATATATATATGTATGTATATATATATACATACATACATATATGTATGTATATATACATACACACACATATATATACATACATATATGTGTGTATGTATATATATATGTATGTATATATATATCACATACAGGAACATCAATGGTTAGGATCACGGAAAACAAAGTAGTGGTTTATGACTAAGGAGCATCCGACGTGCTTTTAAAAGACACACAGGTCGAGGGTAGGCCAAAAGTTGGCGACTAACTTGGGTCGAGCGGATGAGCAGCTGACCCACAGCACGAGACTGGCCTCGGGCATCTGTGCAGCCCATGACCTAAGGGTTCCTAACCACTGCCCCCAATGTCTGGCCTCGCAGTATCTATGCCGTAGTTACACGCGGTAATCTACATCCTAACAAAAGCAAGCATGAACCAGAGAGAGACATTTCTAGAAACACACGCCCACATCCAGGATGTTAAAAAAACAAACACCTTTAATTTGAAAAGCTGGCTTTTTACTTTATTATCCCCATTCTCATTGGACTACCAGGACATAACTCCTATATCACTAGGAATGTGGCTAGGCGGAAACCCAGCTGCAAGGCTGGACACTGAAGGTAGCCATCGTCATCAGCACTGAATCAGAGGCTGCAAAATGTACTGCCTGCTTGCTTGCTTGCTTGCTTGCTTGCTTTCCTTCCTTTCTTAAAGCATGCCACAGTTAGCTTTGGTTATTTAAAAAGCACTACCACCTGACATTTTTACTCCAGCTTTTATGGACGAAAACATGATATCCAAAATCTGACGCTACTGAAATCTCACCAGAGTGTAGGATGATGGGGAGCATGGTCAAGACAACTATGTAAGCTGCCTCGGAATCTCAAACAAAGCAATGGTGAAATCAATCCTTTCATCGAACCAACGTCTATAAATTTCATTCTAAGGACCAAAAAGTTAAGGTCTCAGAGAAAACAGTGAGTCAGGCAGTCAGTATCTGATTTCATGAGGTTTAAATAGAAAATGATTTTTTTTTAAGAATAAGAGAAAATAACAATTAAGTATTTCTCTCCTCTCCCTGCAGGCAAAATGCTTGTGTGATTCTGGCTCCTTGGAACAATAATGAGAGATTCTGAAGCAGGAGGTCAGGCCAGAGCTGCAAGTTAGCTCGTAATCCCAGGAATAAATAAAGTCAGAATGGCAGAACTGGTAATTGTTCAAAATTGTGTTCTGCTTACAAAATAATTCATTACCATATTTTCTCCCTACTTTTATACAGACTTACAAGTTCTACCAAAAAAAATTGAAATAAAGATTTAAATTGCATGTTATCTTACGGTAATTAATACTCAACTGACTTAGTTGCTTTGCTACCGATGTGACAACACCATGACCAGAGCAACTATGGAAGAAAGCATTTCATTTGGGGGGCCACGGTTCCCGAGGGCTAGCGCCCGTGACCACCGCGGAGGGGACCATGGCAGCAGGCAAGAGGCTGGAGCCGTAGCCAAGAGCTCGCAGCTCCATCTACAAGCCCAGGTAGAAAGCACCAACTGGCAATGGGTTGGGTTTTTAAAAACTCAAAGTCCACCCCATGACAGACCTCCTCCGACAGGGCCACCCCCCCCCCTCACCCTTCCCAAACAGTTCTACCAACCGGGGACTGAGTATTCAAATATATGAATCTATTCTCATTTAAGCCAACACATCCACAGACACTAAATACAGAAAACAACCCCCTAACCACTCAGATGTGTGAGCTGGAATCTGACAAGCATTTGCCTCAATACAATGCTGACCTACGCCTATGGCTGGAATATGAGCTGTTCCCTAGAGGCTTGTCTTTGGATATTTTGTGGACTCTTAGGAGGTGAGGCCTGGCTGGAAGAGGTAGGATGTGTGGGGCAGGCATTGAGAGCTATAGGCCAGCCTCCTTTCTGCTCCCAGTTCTGCTTCCTAATTTGCTGAGATAGGAGGGGGGTCTCATCACCTTCTACTGCCATGGGCTGCCTCACTTTCTCTAATATGACGGGTGGTACCCACTTAAACCATAAGCAAATGCAAACTGTTCCTTATTAAGATGCCTCTCTCAGGTACTTTATCACGGTGACCACGGAGATAACTAACACACCTCCTAGCTGGAAATTGAAAAGAGACGGTGCCAAGCATCTTACCAACATGGTACTCTGGCAGTAGGCATGAGTGTAGCTCTTCCTTTTTTTCGCAAGAGGAAATGCGAAATAAAGCTTTTCAGAGTTCTAAAAAAGAGAGAAAACAATAACTATAGTGAGCAAATAATTTCATCATTCAAGAACTTATGGCAATGGGAATAAATTATATATTATTGCTATTACTAAGAACTAATTGGTTGGGAATATAAGGTAAAGAATAAGGAGGGAAAAGGTTAAGTAAAAACTCAGTAGTCCAGAACTGTCAGGCAAGCACCAGGGTTAATGCATTCGTGTGTGTGTGTGTGTGTGTGTGTCTGTGTGTGTCTGTGTGTGTGTTGATGATGATGATTTACCTTTTGTTTAATGTTTTTGTTGTCTCATTTTTGAGACAGGGTTTCAATTTTATAGCAATGGCTGGTCCAGGATTTGCCATGTGGATCATGCTGGCCTCAGACTTTCAGTAATTCTCCTGCCTCTGCCTCCCTGGGATTAAGGGTGTTGTGTGCACCACCATGCAGGGCTGCGATATTTGAATTCTCAATCATTCTGGTTACTGAAAAGGTCCATAAGTAACAACCTAGTCACCAAGAGCCAGGCCAGGGTCTGTGGGTATCGTTTCCTACATAAAACAATTCCTTAAATAAACACCAAATTCGAGCCCCCAGAAGGGGAGAGGCAAAAACTGAGCTGAAACATTCTGCCACACCGGGGAACGAGGGCACTAACAGAAAGTGCCTCTAAGTAGCTGTACTGAAAGATAAAGAGCCACACCTGAAATGGCTTCAGCTTGTCAGGCAAAGAACAACCTTAGGATCAATAAACAACGAATGCAAGCATATTTACATACGTGTGCTAGCAACTGTCACCCACGAGGAATGCTACCAGGGCGACGGCTAGTCTAACAGCCAGCGCACACAAGGTAGAAGCCAGAAGTCAGGCACGGATCGTTCTTTCCTGTGGGGTTTGTCTTACTTTCGACAAGTTTAGTAAAGGAAAACTTCTCTGATCAGTATCCTGATCAATAAACGGAAGAGAAACAGGATATCGTCGTCTTTGTATCCTCCTACAGTAATTAATTCAGACATCCCCTACCAACTGCTCAGATCTCCAGAAGCGAACCCAGGAAAAGCAAAACAATTCTAATAAAAAAAAATGGAATATATCAAGCATTTAGATCCAATTACTAAATCATATGAAGGGCTGGGAGGAATATACTGAATGACAATGGAAATGCAGTCAGCAAAATCAAACCAGTATGAAATCCCATCATAAAAAGTGACAGAAACTTTATTAATAAATTCCAAAGAAAATAAAGGAGTGCGAAATATATTGAAGAGGAATATCAAACAATGATCTATCGCCTCATTGGGTGCTTAGCTAAATAAAAAGTAAATTGAAAAACAAGAAGGGGTCCAAATTTATGATAAAATAGGGAATGTGAACAGATTTGGTATTATTAAGGTATTCTTAGTAAATCGTGAGAAAATGTAATTAAAAAAAAATCTTAACTTTTAAAGGTAAATCTAAGAATCAGTCTGGACAGAAACAAAGACAGAATACCTACATTCTGAGCCACGTAGGACCATCTGGACACTTTCACTGGAACCCACTTGGATGACCCTTAATGGAGAGAAAATGCAGTTATTGCATATGCAATTACTTCCATATTAAAATTGTTGTTCTAGAGGGCTGGAGAGATGGCTCAGTGGTTAAGAGCATAGCCTGTTCTTCCAAAGGTCCTGAGTTCAATTCCCAGCAACCACATGGTGGCTCACAACCATCTCTAATGAGGTCTGGTGCCCTCTTCTGGCCTGCAGGCATACAATCAGACAGGACACTGTATGCATAATAAATAAATTAAAAAAACTGTTGTTCTATTTTGAATTCTGATAAATACTCATTAGCAATAACAAACACGTGGTCCCTTGAATATTGGCTACTTTAAAACATGAGATCCAGAAACATGTTCTTTGTGCTTAACACGAGCAAGCAATTCCTATCAGAGTCTTTGACCTCTCAACAGAAGGAAACGAGGATCGCTTTCCCCAAGGAAACCACCGGAGTGAGTAGAACATGAGCACATTTGCCACGCAAATGAAGTGCTGTTAACTCGGATGGCTGGGGAGTAAACGATGCCGAGAAACAAAGACGTTATAAATAGCACAGCTCTTGCTTTTGGTGACTATCCGAAAACAAGGGCACACAAAACCTTTATTTATCAACTTATTTCCAGTGCAAACTTTGATCAGTGTCTTAACAATTTGCTTCTCTAGTTTTCCTTTCAAACCAAGAACGTGCTAGTACCACGACAGAGAAAAATCGGTAAATAAGACCAGAATACTTGAAGCATCCCAGTTTCTCAAATACTAACAGCTGTGCACAGCTGCACACTTATCAGAAACAACAGTGAAGAGATCCACGTTAAAGGTCACCATCACAAACCTGGGAAGTCAGAAATTATGGATGGGTTTTCCTCAAACTGCTTCGCTGGGTGTCTTATGAAGTGGTGATTCAACACCGACAACTTCTTCTTAGGTTTCTGAGTTATCTAGAAAGAACATTAACATAGTCTGCATCGTCTACAGCATGATGATTTGATGAAGCATTACTTCAAGTAATAAAGAGTCAGCATTTTACTCTCTCTGGACCAGGCACTGTCCTAAAACAACATGGTATCAACGCTCATCCTCACAAAAACTCCGATAGTATGTATCTGCCTTTTTGTAAGAAACTAAGGCACAGAAAAATAGACATTTTTCTAAAGTCACACAGTTATTAAGATTTGGGGCTAAAATGCTCTGTCACAATCAGACAGACCTCAAAAGCTCATGTTTTCTCCAGAAGGGGGATGAAGCCAGAGCCATGGCTTTCAAAACCATTCCCACAGAACAGATATTTACTGTAGGGGCTGGAGAGAGGGCTCAGAGGTTAAGAGAACTGACTGCTGTTCCAGAAGTCCTGAGTTCAATTCCCAGCAACCACACGATGGCTCACACCCATCTATAATGAGATCTGGTGTCCAGAACACTATATATAGATATTTACTGTAAAATGACCCAGGGGAAGGCAGTTGAAGATGAGAAACCCTAGCTTCTTCCCAGCGCACAGCAGAAACTGAAGCTGCTGAACCCGAGGCCCTTAATCACGCTGAAGCCGCCCCTAGGACAGACAGGTAATCTAGCAGTCAAGAAAGAAACGAAAAAAAAAAAACAACATGATGAGCCGCGTGGTGGTGGCGCACGCCTTTAATCCCAGCACTTGGGGGGCAGAGGCAGGCGGATCTCTGTGAGTTCGAGACCAGCCTGGTCTACAAGAGCTAGTTCCAAAACCACAGAGAAACCCTGTCTCGAAAACAAAAAACAAAAGCAAACAAACAAACAAACAAAAAAAAAAACCCCATGATGTCCTGTACAGGATACGGCAAGTGATTCCCAGGCTCTGCTAACTGATAAGTTGGAAACCTCGGTGGAACAGAGATCTCAGGACAGAAATGGCTCAACCCGGGCCAGTGCACAGCTGATTCTCTGAAACCATGGTGGAACGGAGATCTCAGGACAGAAATGGCTCGACCCGGGCCAGTACAGAGCTGACTCTTTGGTGAGTGAGTTACTGAGGACGGCATGCATTCTGATCTTACCAATTCGCCAAAGATAACTTTTAATAGGCATTCAAGAGTACCTAATAGGATAGATTATGATGCTCTCACATGTTACTAAGAAAACCCATTAGAGTTTGTCATAAATATTTCTCTTAAATTAAAAATGAGAGCTGGAGAGAGAGGCATCCAATTTCGGACCTGTGCAGAGAATGTGCTGAGAGAAGAGTCAGCCGTTCTGGTCTTTATTTTCACCGCTTCCTGAATGAATTGTCTATGCATTACATCAGAAGGAATAAAGATACTTCTATTTCAGAACTAATCCACCTGACACGAGGGTTCTGTTAGTATGGAATCCGTGAGCGCCAACCAAAGCGTTCGCTTCGCTAAAACAAGCTTTCAGTTTAAAAACACCTACCTGCTTGGTATCGGCGTCGATGAGATCCAAGAAGGCTCGGATTGTGGTCAACTGTAACTGCTTACACCTAGAGCGGAAAGGAAGTGTTACGGATACAATGTTCGTAAAACACTGGCCTTTCTCAGTGTGAAACTGTTACTTAGGCAGCAACACAACGGAAGACAAAAATCTATGTTGGAAATGATCGTGCTCTCTTTTGTGAGAATTTTATACCTCTCCAGCTCTCCCCACAATCCCCACATCATCTCTCCATCTCAACCTCATGTCCTCTTCTTCAATTTAATTCATTTTTTTAACTCCCTAAACCCAATCAGTCCCACCCACTTATGCATTAGGACGGGTGAACCCTAAGGGAACGGGGGATTCTACTGGTCACCATACCGCCAAAGACAAGCGACTCTCCCTCCCCCAGAAGCCACCAACCGCCAGTTTTGATGCAAATACGCACAGTTCTATCAGTTAATGGAGCACGTTCTATTGCTTTAATGCTGTGCACTAAGAAGGCACACAACAAGTCATTCCTACTAAGTGTATATATCAAAGGTTAACCTATAAAAGCAAAGCAAACAAAATCTTTCAAGATGTCTGGCAGCCAAACGGCCTTCTGCAGCCCACGTGACTTCCAGCTCCAGGCACACGTGAAGCCTGCGCCACCCTACGCGCCTGCCCTGCATGGACCTTGAAGACAGTGGCTTGTCCAGACAAGAGGAAGGACAAAAGAGAATCTGACAGCCAGAGCACAAGGAGCTAGAGACTGGAGTCTTTGCTTTCCTTGACCCACGTGTAACCTCTTACGTTTCTACTATTATTAGGTAGAGATCTGATTTCTGGTTGGTCTCCATCACTCCCCACAGCAGCCATCACAAATCTAACTCTATCGGAGAGCAGTGATTGGCTGGGAGCTCTGAACGTCCTCTCGGGGGCACATCTGACTCTGCCTACCTAAGACAAGCCCTAAAGTTTAGTATTTGATGTTGGCGCCATTCGGAGTGACGTTACTTGTGTTTCAGAAGACAATGTTACGGGTTGTCAGGTCCAACAAGCAAGAGACAAGCATTGAGCTCGAACCTCTATTAATCTTTCACTAGGACTTAATTATGGTGATAAGACAAACCAGCAGCCTAAGTTATAACGTACCACACGATGGAGAGATGGTCTGTTGAGACCCAGGTCTTAGGCACTGCTGAGCTCTGAAAGGAAAAGAAAAAATTCAAGTACATGACGATTTGCTGGATCTCATACACTGATATTTAGAAACACGTGTTAAAAATTTCACTATACTGTATATGTCTTTAATCAAAATGATCCATTTTTATAAAAGGTGATCCGAATATATTGTTCCATGCATAACATAACCCCATATATGTTATTTCTGGTTCTCAGACTTACATTACCCTTTAAAAATTAATATATCCGAAGAGCCTATGCTGAGGTTTTAATATCTAACATTTTAAACGCACAATTAAAAAGTTGAGCTTAATATTCCTTTAATAAAGAATCTTATTAAATAAAGTTATTAAGTAAGACTTTGACTTTTACATGAATGTAGATGTTCCAGTAGATAGTTCAAGATTTTAGTTTTGAACTGAACTCCTACTTGGGGGGCTCTGAGATGTGACTTGATGAACAGGGGTGTGCTGAGAAATGTGTATTAGCATGTAGTATTTATCATATGTATTAACTATATGTATAATTTATTGTATGTATTAACTACACAAAGTAAGGAAGTTCGATTTGACATTTCCACATTTGCCTAATAGAGATTGATCATTTCCATACTCTATAACTCCTGTTTATCTGCACCCCTCTTATTGATGAGTTTATAGGCGCTTTATATATTTAGGAACTACTGCTGATAAATTACTAAAAAAAAAAAAAATCTGACACCAGAGTCCTCTACGGTTCTAAGATTTTACTAGCCACTGAGCAGAATAATAGCTCAACCACTGGTAGGTAGCATTTACCATTATCAAGTAAATAAACGTGCTTTATCTTCTCATGTGGAATTCCCCTCTGTATGCTGTGATTACCATTAACGAATAAAGAAAATTGGCTTGGGCTGATAGGATAGAATAGAGGTAGGTGGGGAAAACTAAACTGAATGCTGGGAGAAAGAAGGAGATTCAGAGAGAAGCCATGGAGCCCTGTCAGAGCTGGACGGAATTTTACCCAGTAAGCCACTGCGACGTGATGATACACAGATTAATAGAAATAGGTTAAATTGAGATGTAAGCATTATCCAATTAGAAGTTAGAGCTAATGAGCCAAGCAGTGATTTAATTAATACAGTCTCTGTGTAATTATTTCGGGGCTAAGCGGCCGGGAACAAACTAGCGACCTCCTCCTACAATTTTGTTTGGCTTGGTAAAGGCACCACAAACGCCACCCGCTCCTCCCTCTCAGGCCCAGAGAACACTGTAGAAGGGCAGAAAGCACACAGGAGCCCCACTCAGGGGGAACACCTGTGAAAAGCCGCCTTCTAGGCAGGACACAGTCGGTGCAAGGGTGAACTCACACCAGCTGTGGCTACTGACAAGCCCAGTCCTTCCGACAGTCAGCTATGGATGGAGGAGAAGCTGCTGGGACCCCAGCCCTACTGCTTAGTCATTGACTACTGACAGATTCTGGACAAGGCATTCCATTGTGTGCCTACAGGAAGACCACTGGGCTGCAATGGATAGACCCACACTGTGGTCACACAGACAGCCCTTGGGGGGGCACAAGCCACACACAAGGCATGAATATGGTGTAGAGATTTGTGGGGAAGGAGGAGGTCGGTAGGAGTGGGAGGGTCACAAGAGGCGAGGGGAGTCATCAGAACACATTATATTCACTTAATGAAACTGTTAAAGAATGAAGTTAATAAAAATGCAGACATGTTATAAGGGAGGCTGCTCATGGAACCATTAATTGTACACTAAAAGACGTTCATTCTGCTCTATAGCAAACAACATGGCTCAATCCTTCAGCCTCTCTTTTTCAAGACATAATAGCATTTCCTCTCATGGTGAGCAGAAGCCATGGGTGAGAGAAGCCACAGGTGGGAGAAGCCATGGGTGAGAGAAGCCACGGGTGGGAGAAGCCACGGGCGGGAGAAGCCACGGGCGAGAGAAGCCCTGGGTGCCCTTCCCTGTGCTGATTCCTCTCTCTGTTTGATCCAGTGATGACTAACGTGATCTGGGAAATAAAGCATTGCAGATGGGGTATCTGGCATCAGCCTAGGTCCCTGAGTCAGAAACCACACACCGTTCTACACAGCCAAAGGTCATTTGTATTTGTGATACTATTATCCACAAGGGGATATATTATAGCAATTGAACACAATCGCGGTCTTCTTATCATTTTCCCAGTCCCCATGACTATAAAGTAACTTAACCACTCCTGTGACAAGCACTGAGAAACTGTCACTGCTTAACTGACTTTAATATCAGACATATAAACGTGAGAAATTACAAAGAGAGTTAAAAAAATAAAAGTTCTACAAACAGACACCTGTGGGGAAATTCTATTAGTGAAATCTCTTCATCAGAGACATAGAAACAGCGACAGCCACGCACTGTCAAAGGGATTAGAGCAGACAAGGACACACACTCATACATCAGCGGACGCATGCGGGATCAAATGAGCAATGTTCTTCCACAGACAAGCATCAGCGTGCAGGGTGTTGACGCCACGCTGCGGGCCAATGATGGCGAGGAAGTTATGTCTGACTTCGTAAGACTTCATCACGTGTGTTTACTGAGGAGCGACACTGGGTATTCTGAGGAGTCCCGGAAAACATCTGTCTGAAATACTCGGACACCAAAACCAAGATTCCCGCCACTAATAATGATGTCTAAGAGAACGACTGATTAACATATCAATCAATCAACAACTATCCTGGCTGTATCCTAATGCTTCCAGTTAGAAGAAAATGGTAAGGATAGACCTGCATCCTAATTCCTCTTCTGGATAAGGCAACGAAGGATTCAGTTAGCAGCTCACTCATGGATGAACGGCAGGGCAATAGCAGGAAAGTTACACAGAACAACTCAGAGGCGTGATTTTCTCCCACCATCGCCCCAAAGCACGGGGGACAGGCAGCCCCTCTACAGAGGCTGTGTATGCCTCTGTAGTGGAGATCTTAACCGCTGACATCATGATTAAAGGTATAAGAGATTCTAAGGGAAATTTGAGTTCACTTTCCAAAGTCTAAGTATCCTAATTAAAGATCAAACACTCAATAGCCTAGCAGGGAAGGGTAAGTAATAATCGGCAAGTTAAATAAGGCTTCTATTTGTTCGCCAACTATCAAAGAGCGTTATTTTATCTGGCAGCTGGTAAGTCTTTACTCAAAGCTAGCATTAGGAGGATGGGATGCGTCGGCCATTCTACTAGCAATACAGTTACATCACGCGGACATAACTAGAGCCCCTTGTGTTTAGTCCATGCATTCTTACGGTTCCACCTCTGATTAATGGATAGCGTCTGACTTTGGAGCCTACTATTTTCATTGATTTTCAAGGTTTCTCACGTCCTTTTTTTCTTTCTCCGGCAGAAGCGTCTGCTTTCCAGCACCTCGGATTTCCTCATACATCCGTGTGCGCTTGCGTGCACACTTCCTCCACCCACCTGGCGTCCATTTACGAGCATGGATACACCATTTCCCTTCTGACGTTCCTCTGTGTCTACTATAGTACGATATAGAACCTTTAAGATAGTTACCACGACAGACAGGGCACTGGTCTCATGGCTTAATTTTGGCAGAAAAGTCAGTCCTGAACGAACTTGGTAATCCCGGAATCCTCCAGCTACGGAGAGCGTAGTCAGATTTATATTCCGAGCATTTAAAATCCAATAGTCGTTTACAGTCATATAGAACTCTGGAAGGAAATGAAAGGGAAAAGGAAACACTGAAAGTTAAGCCATTTCATGCAGCCATACTTATAATACTAATATTTATCTGAATTTTTGCTTAAGCTATTTGGTCTATAAATATCATTCACATTTCTATATTTGGAGAAAGAAATCATTAGCTTTGCATACAAGTCAGAGTACAAAAATCCACGTTTGCAATGAGTTGAAGTAAAATACTGAGAGTTACCAAAGGTGTCACTAAAGAGAAAGGCCACACGGAACCAGTTTTCAATGAGTTCGCATGCAAACACGTCTCTGCAGCCAACGAGACTGGCACCACCCCACACCATCACAAAGAAACCCTTGAGTTCCTTCAAAGAGGCGTTGTAGACATCCATGACGCTAGTGCCATGATAGAAGCCGTGTTCACTCCCACCATATTGTATATATTAAATGCATGCATTTTTGCCTATGAATTACCCTCAATAAAGTAGTCTTCAAAAAAAGAGACATTCACTTCTCCCGGTCACAGAAGTGCCCGGTCTTTCAAGGCTTAGCAACCCTGTGTTGAATAACCATCACCACACATCACTACGTAAGCTCCTACGAAACAACCTATCATAAGAGCGACATATTAATTTTAGGATGACACTGCTGAAGAAAATCTCAGGCTTAGAGTTCCACCCATCAAAGTCAGCAGCAAACTGAAAGTGAGAGGTTTCCAAGCAGATTTTCACTTTATCTACTAAAACTAGGAAGTCTGTTGATCACTAAACTGAGATCAGGAAACAGAGCCCTAATTTCTTTTTCTCCGCATCGAACTCCATCAGATCCCATTCATGCCTTCATACATTTGGTATGTAAAGCCCTCCTCATTAAAGATCTCAACAGTATGTATCTGAGACACCACCAAGTCTACTGAACTCTGACATCTAGAGGACCTGGGAAAAATATCAATGAAACTAAGTATTAAAGTCTAAATATTAAAACCAAAAACTGTGATGAGACCACTAAATGAAGTATTTTCTATGCTTTCCTTGACGGACCATTGAGATGACGTCATATGGAGTTAAGATTCTCAGAGTCTTCAAAGTTAGCCCTAGATTGTGAGAACACACAGAAACACACCACGGGTCCACTGCTGTGGTACCTTCTCTCTCTTCCCAAGCTAATTCTATCTGACATCCCAAGGACCTTGTGCGAATGTCCGGACTCCACCACAGAGCCACACTTTGCCGTAGTTCACTGTAGGTTCGTGTGCACTGCTCTTACAATAAAGACACGTAAGAGGCCCACACCGGCCCTGGAAAGAGCTTGGGGCACAGGAGCTGGGCATGGTGCTGCAAACGTGTAAACCCAGCCATGAGGAGGCAGGACGATCAGGATCGTAAGGGGGCTACATCAACACTCTCCAAAAGAAAATAAACGGGCAATCTGGAGATTTGGTTTCCAGAATTATGATCTGAGCGTAAGAGCATGAGCCACAAGGAGAAAGGCTGTCTGGTGGATACATCCCATCCCTGTGAGGAGGGGTGTGGTCAGAGATGACCCTGAACCACTTTCCGCATTTAAAGGTAGCATTACCAAGTATAAACAGGGCTTCTATTTCTGGAAGTCATATGTACCTCTCAAGAACATGAAACCCTTCGCTACTTAAATACATTTTTTTCCCATTCTAATTTAAAGAAATAAGAAACCAGAAAGTTGAAAGAGACCGGACTTTCTCTAACTCAGGAAAAGCATCCCAAGCTTAGGAATCCCTTTCAAAGGCGATCATTGCTATCAATGATTCAAGCCTGACAGTATTGAAAATACATTTCTTCTTTGGGGGATGCAGATATAGTTCAAGGTGTGATTTTGTTTGTTCGCTTGCTTGTTTTTGCTTTTGTTTACGTTTTTGGTTTGTTTTTTTTTTTTTGAGACAGAATTACTAACAGTCCTTGCTGTCCTGGAACTTGCTCTGTAGGCCAGGATGGCCTTGAACTCAGAGATTCACCTGCCTCTGCTTCCCAAGTGCTGGTGTGATTTATTAAGCAAATACAAGGCTCCATTTGACTTCAAGAGTCTACTGCTGAGAGGTAGAAAATACTGGGAGAAATGACTGGAATTGGGCAGCATCTGGGGAGCAAAGTGGAAAGTTAGTGCAATGAAAAACTCCATGGAATCTACAAGAGTAACCCTATCAAAGCCTCCTGGCAATCTTCTGTAACAGGCAAGACCTCAAAAGTGAAGGATTTGGAATATAACCCCAGCGACAAAACCTTTGACCTACAGTTTGTACCGCCTGCAGAGTGTTCTGGGACCAAAGCCTAGCAGAACCCTCATCAAAGAGATCAGAGCGACTTCAGCATCAACTCGTGGGAGCAGATGTAGAGTCCCACAGCCAAACATTAGGCAAAGGGTGGGGAGTCCTGTGGAGGAGGGGAAGGAAGGACAGGAGGAGCCAGAGGGGTCAGGGACATCACAAGACCATGGCCCACAGAATCAACTGACAGGGACTCACTGCAGAGATTGGGGAGCCTGTAGGATCTAACCTAGGTCCTCTGCATATATGTTATAGCTGAGTAGCTTGGTGTTCTTGTGGGATTCCTAACAGTAGAAGCATGGCTGTCTCTGACTCCTCTGTCTACTTATGGGACCCTTTTCCTCCTCCTAGGCTGCCTCGCCCAGCCTTGATGGGATTGTGTGTGTCTGGTCTTATTGTAGCATGGTATGTGGTATTTGGTTGATGTCCCTGGGGGGTCTCCTCTTTCCTGAAGGGAGGCAGAGCAGGTGTGGATCTGTGGGAGAGGGGAGGCGAGACGGAGAAACTGGGGAGAGGGGATATAAAACATGAGAGGAGAAATTTTTAAAAAGGTCCTACTGCTGAAGAGGCCACGCTACTGAGTCACAGAACATGGTGAGATCAAGCTGACACATCCCTGGAAGCTTCGTCCCTGCTGGCTGTCTCTAATAACGCTACAAGATGCTCTACAAACTCTCAGAGGAGAAAGTCATTATCAACCACGCCCAGCTATGACCCCTGAAAGCTATAGAGATGATGAGTCCGGAAAGACAGGCTCACTGGTGCAATAGTGGCAGGGACACCATGGGAGTAACCAATAACTTTTCGCTCAAATTTAAATCCTGTTCCACCAGATGAAAGTCATACTTTATAACCATTATTGGGCTAGGAACCTACGGCTAGATAGATAGACAGGCCACAGTCCCTAAGGGACGGTCTACTATTCTGCTGCTAAATGACATATCAAACTAACTCTTGCTGACTTATTATTTTAAGTGTATCTGGAATCATTTAACCTTAACTACACGGCTCATCTATATGAACTGTGCAAAATGCAACCGAAAGGGTGGTAACAAACCTGACTGACTTGTAGTTTTTGATTCTTTCCCTAAATGAATACTCAGTCAACATTAGTAGAAGCAGCACAAAAGATTTAAGCAATTTTAATCACAAATCTCTTAATTTCATTACTGTGAGAATCTGATACGGCAAGTTTCAAACAAGTAACTCTTTTTTTTATTTTTTAAATTTATTTATTTATTAAGGATTTCTGCTTCCTCCCCGCCACCGCCTCCCATTTCCCTCCCCCTCCCCCCGATCAAGTCCCCCTCCCTCATCTGCTCGAAGAGCAATCAGGGTTCCCTGACCTGTGGGAAGCCCAAGGACCGCCCACCTCCATCCAGGTTTAGTAAGGTGAGCATCCAAACTGCCTAGGCTCCCCCAAAGCCAGTACGTGCAATAGGATCAAAAACCCACTGCGATAAACAAGTAACTCTTAAAAAGACAGAATCGTCCCCAGGAAGAAAGAAGTTGGAGTCCTAGAACCTCGGGCTTAGCAAACACGCGTTAACCGGCTGGAAAGAGAAGTCAATGCCATCCCCAGTAAGCCTAGATTGAAAGAGACGAGCGACAGTGAGAACCTGAGAACGGGAGTGCTGACGTGTAACCGGACAGCCTCACCCCTGGATTAAACTCTCAGGAACCAGCTTCACCCGGAGGATGGAGGAGGGAAGTTTGAAGGTGCTCATACTCACCCGTGATGAAACGGTCTAAGGGCATCACGGGGGCCACGTGTGGAGTGGCCTGGGTGACCAGGAGGTTGATCAGATCTGGCTTAAAGTTTTTCAGCGTAAGCAATGCTCTGGCCACGAGGCCACCCATAGAATGACCGACTATCGTCACACTTGTGGGAGCGAATTCTTGACCCTATTGGAAAAGAAAGGAAAGGAAGGGAGAAAGGGGGAAAAAAAATCACCATGATAGGATTCTTAGTATCATAGGAAAACTACTTAGTACTTCTGCTTGCATATGACTGATATAGTAGCAACGATAAACCATGGGAATATCCCTCAAAAGACAGAAAAATCTGTCTGCACACAGTTCTAAGCAATAAACAAATCCTCTTTTGGCTTGTGTTAATTTTAACAGTTATACTTTTGGTTATGATTTTCTTTCTTTCTTTTTTTTTTTTTTTGGATTTTTCGAGACAGGGTTTCTCCATAGCTTTTGGTCCCTGTCCTGGAACTAGCTCTTGTAGACCAGGCTGGCCTTGAACTCCCAGAGATCCGCCTGCCTCTGCCTCCCAAGTGCTGGGATTAAAGGCGTGCGCCACCACCGCCCGGCTGGTTATGATTTTCTAAACTGAAACTGGAATCCTTGATTTAGTGAATCACATTTGTATTCATTTGCTAGGTTACATATAATCTGAAGTATATTAAATATAGAATAGAATATCATTTTATAATATACAATACTTTTTTTTTTTAATTTTATTTTTCGAGACAGGGTTTCTCCGTAGCTTTTGGTTCCTGTCCTGGAACTAGCTCTTGTAGACCAGGCTGGCCTCGAACTCACAGAGATCCGCCTGCCTCTGCCTCCCGAGTGCTGGGATTAAAGGCGTGCGCCACCACCGCCCGGCAATATACAATACTTTTAATATAAAATATTATATTATATATAATATATGTAAATATATATTTACTTCAAATATTCTGATTTTTGAAATAAATAAAACTGAAAATAGTTTTAAAAGACAATTATAGCTGTTGAAGCAATATACCATCATATGGATCTCTAAATTATTTCTCTACAATGCGTTTGCATTTAAAAAATAAAATAGCATCTTAAACATTTAGTCACACATTATGTAATTCTTTAAAAAAAAAGCATCGCTGGGGGCTGGAGAGATGGCTCAGTGGTTAAGAGCATTGCCTGCTCTTCCAAAGGTCCTGAGTTCAATTCCCGGCAACCACATGGTGGCTCACAACCATCTGTAAAGAGGTCTGGTGCCCTCTTCTGGCCTTCAGGCACATACACAGACAGAATATTGTATACATAATAAATAAATAAATAAATATTTTTTAAAAAAAGCATCGCCTCAAAAGTAATCTTTGTTGGGGCTGGAGAGATGTCTCAGAGGTTACTCTCACTGATTCTTCAGAGGATTGGGGTTCAGTTGCCATCACCCACATGGTGGATGAGGACAACAATCTGTAACTCTAGTCCCCGGGGATCCAGTGCCCTCTTCTGGCCTGCAGAGGCACCAGGCGCACACACACGGTACACAGACATACAAGCAGATAAAATACCCACACACCAAAAGTTAATTACTTTTAAGGAAAAGCAATAATAATCTTTATTTATCAGGTGTGGTGGTGCACACCTTTAATTCAAGCACTCAGGAGGCAGAGGCAAGCGGATCTCTGTGAGTTCAAGACCAGCTTGGTCAACTTAGTGAGTTAGAGGCCAGCCAGAACTACATAGCAAGGACCATCTCAAAAACAAGCTTGGGTCAGCCGCACTCCTTAATCTTCCTACTAGACTGTAGAAATGTCTCCCACAACACTGGTCCTCCACACGTGCCTTTCCTTCAGTCGCTGCGCAAAACAGAGCTGACCCGGAAGGCCTGGGGTTGCTATCCTTAGGATGATCTAAACGAAAGGCTGCTACAGAGTGCAACCTGGGACCTTATATTTCGGGAGGGCTCTTGCCACTCTTTAGACAGTTCACAGTGCCCACAATGCAAGCAATACGGCCTACGCTGAACACCTGTTGTCTTCCAGGCTAGAATTCTGGTCTGTGTTAAGTAGACAGATTTGGAATTAGCTCCCGACAAAACTCTGGGGCACTGCGTCTCTAACTGCGCCCCTCGCCCCTCACTCAATTTGTAGATGGAGGAACGAAGTACAAATGTGTCCGTGTCCGTCCCGCCTCCTCCATCCCTGGAGAGCCTCTGGAAGCTCACACCTGCTTTCTTCCGATTTCTTCCCTGCGCTTCTCCTCACGGGCTTTCCCTGTGTGACAGCCCTAGGTCTGATACAAGCTGAGTCCTGTGAACATCCCTAGCAAGCCAGCCTGCCTGGGGATGGCCTTGGGGATCCCAGCGTTCATCACGGTGAGGGCCGACCTGCTTCTGCACCCAGACTTCCTGTTCTCTTGTCCACCGGTGATCACTTTTAGTCTTTAGTGCTGCGCCCCTTCACTTTCCTGACCCCTTAATGGCCTGTGATTGGTTCTTTGATCTCTCTGACACACACACACACACACACACACACTCTAATAGTGGCCACACTAATCTCATCTACTCCCCTGGCTGTAAATACATCTACCTACAGTTAACCACCCACCAACTAATCTCCACTGGATCTCTCCGCTGGAGTCCTCGCCTTGAACTCCTTTTGTGTAATTGCTGTACTGGGAATATTCTCATGGATCTCACACTCAGTCTGTCTTAAATTAGACTTTTATCACCCCCAAGCCTTTTCCTCCTTCCTGTCCAAGGCAATTCAATCCCTCCAGTTAGCCAAACAAAAAACTTGGAATCATTAACTCTTGTTTCTCCTTTCTACGGAACTTTAACCTGCAATCTGCCAAGCTAAGTTTGCTGCCTCTGCCCCGATACTAGTACCCCAGTACTTCAGTTGCTACCGACCTAACCTAAAGCACTATTAGCTCTTGTCTGAGAGACTGCAACAGGCTTCTCTCTGGTCTCCCTGTCTCCACCCTTACGCCCCTCCAGTTTATCCTCGAAAATAACCAGAATGAAATCATCCTACTAAAATTGAAGTAAGAACGTGTCACTGCCCAGTGGTTTTCCTTACCACCCTAGATAAAAGGGGGAAAAACATTAAAATTGTCTGTGTCGTTACAATCTCCCCGACCACCCCAGCCATATTTCTGTTTTCTACATGGCTGTATTTACTTAGACTCTTGTGATTAATGAGGTTTTCTCTGCCCAGAATAGTCTTTCCATACCTGTACTTTATCCGTCCAATGAGTCTGTTTCTTCCTCTATTCTTCTCAAAGCTGATTTTGCTGTTGTTTTGAGATCAATAACTGTTGTATCTTAAATAAGGACTAGAATTTCACTGAAAGTCATTTTGCCCTAGGTTTTTCTTAGTGGCAAGATTTTCCATTACACACACACCCCTGACAGATACAGGTCTAACCAGACTTTCTGTTTCTTCTTATGTCAGCTTTTTAATTTATGTTATGTATAGGCATCAAAGTGTGCCTGTTCCTTCACTGTCCTATTTGCAGGGGTAGACTGTGTAGAAACACGCCGTCACTAGTTCCTGATAGCATTTACAAATTTACCAAGCTGTTGATCTTTCTGAAGAATCAACCATTGGCAGAAGTGAGTTTTTCTGTTGTTTTATATATATTTGAGACGGTTACCTTTATTTGTTTATTCTGTCTGCATGTCTGCCTGCATGCCAGAAGAGGGCACCAGACCTCATTACAGACGGTTGTATGTAATCCCATGTGGTTTCTGGGAATTCAATTTAGGACCTCTGGAAGAACAGGCAGTGCTCTTTAACCACTAAGCCATCTCTCCAGTCCTGTTTTATATTTCTTTAATTTCACTTTCATCATGACTCCTTACTCTACCTGCTTTGGTAACTTTCTTTTCCCTCTGGCTTACAAAGCCTGCGGCCTTCAGTCACAGACTTGAAATCTTACTTTATGAGCATTCAAAAGCAGTATTTGTTTTTAACAAGTACCCAATCTCATAAATTCTTTTTTTTATTATTTGACAATTTTGTGCACATAAAATGTTATAAATTCTGATATGTATTTTCATTTTAATTTATCTCATAGTATCCTCAAATTTTACTTTTTCTGAAATATTGGGTAATCTAGCAGTAATAGAAGTTTTTTTTTTTTTAAATTTGGTTTTTTGAGACAGGGTTTCTCTGTGTAACAGCCCTGGCTGTCCTGGAACTTGCTTTGTAGACCAGGCCGACCTCAAACTCACAGAGAACCCCCTGCCTTTGCCTTCTGGGTACTAGGATTAAAGGTGTGTGCCATCACCTGGCTAGAAGAATTTTTTTAGGCATTTTTTTTTAACTTTTAACTTTGCTATTTTCAGAAAATATATGGCATTGCATAGTTTTAGCACTCTGAGGATTACTAATACCCGTGACCCATATATGGCCTGGCACAGAGGACACCTTAGTACATGGTCACTGTGCACTGAAAGAGAAGGTTTCTATAGTTGTTGAGCACAGCATTCTATTATTACTAATAAACATACAGCAGAGGGGGTGAAGGGTGTTCAAATCCAGAGTTTTACAGAACTCTTCTATCAGAAAATTGGGAGGATTCGTAGTGAAATCATTCGTACTAATTGTGCTAACAATGATAATATCTTTCCTTGGTTCTACTGGATTTGGCTTTGTGAATCTGGAAGGATTAGAGGCACACAAATGATTGCTTTGCTTCCTGGATACATCGACCCTTTTGCAATTATGAAAAGTCTTTCTTGTGGGGACAGGGCCCGCGGATAAAACTAAAGTCTCTAAAGCGTCTACACTGATCCCCGATGAAATGCCTTTCCCTAAAATGTATTGAACAGATAGTAATTTAGTCATTCTAGTTTTTGATTGTGTGGTATGAGCACGCATGTGACTCGGGACAATGTGGGGAGGGGGCAGTTTCTCTTCTTCAAACTGAAGAGAGGCCATCATGCTGGGCACCGGTGCCTTTACTCCCTAAGTCACCTCACTGGCCCGCCACCTTATCTCTCGATGAACCAGGAAACTGTAAATTCAACTTAGATCTTTAAAGTAGCACTGGATTGAAGATACCACTTTAAAAAAAAAGTACTGCCGTTTTTGTATTGCTTCAACTTCCACAATATAAACAAATATACTATTTAAAATCAATCCCTAAAAGAAGAAGACGACACTGCTGATAGGTTACACTGATGATCTGCATCTTTATTGCCTACCTTGTACAGTTTGAGAATTGTTTTGATGCATTGGTGCACGAACTTGGTCTGCTTCCGAAGACTCCCGCCGTACAGGGCCACCAGCTCCTCGTTGAAGTTCACACTGAAGAAGTCAAAGTGGTACTTGAAGTCAATGTCCTCCGCTTTTCTCAGCGCGATGGAGCCAATGGAGCGGACTGGAGAGGAGAGGACAGCTCACTGTACAAGACACCCCAGAATCCCTTCCCACTTTGTTCTGAAAGGCTTTGTTTTGCTTTGTTGTTTTTTTTGTCTCTGAGACAGGGTTTTTCAGTGTAGCCCTGACTGTCCCAGAACTCGCTCTGTAGACCAGGCTGGCCTCGAACTCAGAGAGATCTGCCTGCCGCTGTTGGGATTGAAGGCTGAGCTTCTGGGGTGGGGGGTTTACTGGGATCTGAGATCAGGGTCTTCATACAGGAAATGCTAACAGTTAGCAGCTGAGCTTCTAAGGTAATACGGTTACTGTGTACCACACTGAAGTAAGTTGTTTCTATTCATGATAGGGTTATTTATTTAAAGCCCCTCAATAGCTCAGATTATATATTATAAAGATTAAAAACCAATAAATAGAGTATACTAGGGATTCACACTTAGGGATTAAGACTATAAAGAAAGTTTATGAAAATTGCTACCTTAAAACCAGGATTGTGGAAATGTGCGCGCGCGCGTGTGTGTGTGTGTGTGTGTGTGTGTGTGTGTGTGTGTGTAAGGGGGAAAGCTTTAGTCATGAAGGAACACACAGGGTTGGCAGGGTGCTGGCAACTTCCTACTTCTTCACTGAGGCTCTGTAAGTTCACTCTGTAATAACTGAAAGTGTATCATTTCAAGCGTGACAGCTAGCAACAAAAATCAGATTATATCATTTCTTACCCAAAGCACCCATGTTTCACATCCCTCTCAAATAAACATTCAGTCTTTCCAGATCTTATCTATAGGTCACAGCGACCTCTCCATTCTTGTTTCATTTTTCTCTAGTCCTGTGACCTATGGTCCTCAGGGCACCGGATATAGTCTTGCATCAGGAACTTCCCCAAACTGTACTGCTCAAGCTCCCCTCAAACACCATCTCCCCGCCAGGGCCTTTCCTGACCCCCTCATCTAAACAGGTCTCTTTCCTATTACATACCGTCTGCCCCCTTCAGTGATTTACGGATATATTTCTTGTAGCTTTTAATATTACTGAAACCTCCACTGGTGGCTGTCTTCCCTTAAGAACATGTGCTTGACGAGGGAGGAACTTGCTGTCTTGTTCTACTCGGGACCATCAATACCTAGAATACTCCCTGGCTCAGGACTCACATGCCACAAGTGTTTTGTACATGAAAATCAAAAAGAAACATAAGGAATCACCATACACGCTGAAACAATTGTGGGTTCATTACTTCACAATTCCTGGAATGTTTGTAAGAACCAACACAGACTCTGTGTGTAATGACTTACAGATTGGGATGTCTGCCTGTTAGGCCAGAAACTCCTGACATTCCAAACGCTGAGTTTGGAGCCTGAACACATCACTTCCTTCTTCCCGCCATTCTGTAACCCTTCCACACTGCGATAGGCCTCCACCCCGGGAAAGACACTGATCTAGTCCCATTCAGCGCAACGTAAGGTACTGTTCTCCCTACCGAAGCTTCGGATTCCACTCTCTCTGTCTAACTTATTTTCCAGTGCGAGCCTTCCTTCTGCTCGTCCTGAATACCTGGCTCATCTATTCCCCCTACCCTGGGCATCTGCCTCTTCTCATCCCAAGTAGTCTTGTATTTCACTGTGTTTTCCCGCGAAGGAGGTGGCATTCCCATGGCTCTCCCAAGAGGTAGCGGGACACACTTTTTATCTATCCCTGCTTGATTCAGGCAGGACACACACCCTCCGAAGTCTGAATTTCACAGCGTTAACTCCGCTCTTCCAGCACCTACCTTGCTTGTAGCTGCCGGCGTTACCAGGAAGGAAGAGAACAGGAATTCCTGTCAGAGGGAGAGCTTTGTGCTCGTCGGCGTAAGACCCTTCTCCATACAGATAGAGCTCATAGGATGGATAGCGTTTCGTCAGCTTCTTCGGGAGTTCGATTTTCTACAGAAAGGAAGTAATAAATAAGTCCACTTTAATCACTTTTGTTAACACAACTCAGATTCAACGCAAACGTAAACTAAAGAACTTTGAAATCGTGCAACAGAAAAAGATCACCAGCGGTATTAACCACACTTGAGGCACAAAACAAGTTCTCCTTGCCATGTTTCGAGCAGGAGATTACTCTTATATTATGTGGATCTTGAATGGTGTAAACTTCAAACACATATTGTTGAGATTCTAGTGCATGCCCATTAGTCTAAACAGTGCCTGACAACTGCTGTATGTCACACTGGTATACATCAGAAAGTTTCACATAAGCATAACCGGAAATGCATTTCATTTAGTCAGTTATCAATTACACTTTAAAACGATGGTAAACGCTTCCCACGATCAAATTAATTCTTTTTGTAGTTTTATACTCCTTTCTAAAGTATCTCCTTTTTATTCAGGCCCCCCTACGTACTGCAGCTGTGGTGTGTGCACACATACATTCATTTGTGTGTGTGCGCACAGGCATATACAGATGCGTGTGTGTGTGTGTGTGTGTGTGTGTGTGTGTGCACGTGGAAGCCAGAGGCCAACATTGGGTATCTTCCTCAACTGTTCTCCACCTGAACCTGGAGGTCGCAGATTCAGCTAGACTGCCTGGCCTTCCTCTGCTTCCCCAGCGCTGGGATTACAAACACAGACTACCCTGTCCAGCTATGTACCTGTGCTCTGTGGATGAGCTCCAGCCTTCCTCACGATGGCTAGGCAAGCCCTTCCTCTGCGAAACTAATTCCACAGCCCCAGGAAGTTGGCTTGACAATAAAACTTTCTGAGCTCTCAGTGCTTTAACTATGATGGTTTAACAAAATAACAAAATTACCTGAACTTGACAATCAAGAGATGAACATTCTTCTTACCATTGAATTAGCAGCTCTTCCACACCAGGGGCCAGCACCCGGACTGTGAGCAAGTCTTAAGCTACTTTGGCAAATCCTAAAGTTATATACAGAATTCTTTCCAGTATAACATATATCCTCCCCAAAGGACAGGATCCATCAAAGATGTACAAAGTGCAAGCTCTTCTACTCCCACCCCCACCCTTGGAGGCCCGTTCTCACTATGTAGGCTCAGCTGTCTTGACTCGCTACCGTGCTACCCCATGTTCCCTGGCGACTGTTGGGAATGACAGGCGTACATCATCCTACCTGGTGTTTCCTTTCTTTCTCTTTTTAATAACAGAAATTATTAACAACAAGTCATTGGGCGCTGTAGAGATGGCTCCGTGGTTAAGAGCACTGACTGCTCTTCCAGCGGACCCAGGATCAATTCCCAGCACCCACATGGCAGCTTGCAATTGTCTGTAACTCCAGCTCCAGGCGATCTGTCATCCTCACACAGACATGCAGGCAAAACATCAGTGCACGTACAATGAAAATAAAGTTTAAAAAAGGGTGCCACTTTCAAAAATAACAATTGTACTGAACCATAGATTTAAGCAGTATCAATACATTGATAATCTAGCAATGTCAAACATATACGTACTTGATGAAATATTTTACCATAAAAATTTCTAAACCTGTAAATGTTAATACTGCTGAAAAATTCTAAAAAAAAAATCTAATCATTTGTGTAGATTCCAGACTATTCCTTTAAGGATATTACCATAATCTGGACCAACCACACTCCAGGGGCATCTACAGGACTGCTATGTACCCATTATTTAAGAGATGAGTACTTTCAATTACCCTCTCCAATACACCAAAAACCAGAAAAACCAGCGCTATCTGCTGTACAAGCACACTGGTACTCGAAGTCAAATTAGTTCCAATAATTTATGCAGAGTGCAAGTAAAAACGAAATGATGCAGTATCTTATTTACTGGAGTACAAACCAAGCAAAAAGAAAATATAACAGAATAAAGAAATAATTCCCAAACTGCTCCCAAACAAGGACACGATTTGATGCAATGCCACATGCATAATAGGATCGTGACTTTCTAGTTTAGTAGACAAAGTTTGAGTTAAGCTGAATTAATATTCTGAATTAATATTCAGAAAACAAGAAACTACCAAATATATCTAAAAAGAAACAATTAAAGATGAAAAGCAGGTAAAACAACATATTGGCATATTTCATAGCATATTATTTTGAGGGCAATTTTGTTATAAAACATTAATAGCATGAAAAATTAACTTTATATATATATATATTAAAAACATACAGGTGGGGGAAAGGTAGGGAGATGGAGAGTCAATAGTGGGGAGCAGAAAGGGAAGCAAGAATGGTAGGCAAATGGCAAAAGGGCAGCAGGCAGAATACAAGGGAGTGTCCAGAAGCCAAAAGGCAGCTAAAACGCCTGGCGACATGTGAACCCACAGAAGGGACGCCGAGGAGAAAAAGGAAGCACAGAGAAACCTGCTGAATGGCTCCAAGATACATTCTCTTATACGGATAGTTTGAAACAATCAGACTCTCACCCACAAGTGCCCTTTAATGAAGATCAGCGACCTTCACGTGACATATTACATCCACGATGCCCACCCTGCCATCTGCCATGCCTTGACTGCCCCTCACACTGTCCGCATCACCAGCTTACACCCCTTCCAAAAGACAGGCGTCCTAACAACCCCTCACCTGCTGAAGGATGCTGCCTTACAAAGGCAGAGGCCTTGTTTTATAGTGTGTGTGTGTGTGTGTGTGTGTGTGTGTGTGCGCGCGCACACGCGCATGCTCATGCATGCGTGTGTGTATGCGTGTGTGTGCGTGTGTGTGTGTGCACCTATCTTTCATCTGTAAAGAAGAATGATAAAAGTTTGATAGTCATGATATAACCAAAAAGGAAAAAGTATGTATCAAAATGAATGCAACTTTGAAGCTCTTCCTAAGTCCTTGGCTACTCCTACGAGTAGTACTAGGGACTCCTGTTTGATATAGAATGGGCAAAAACACCTACACATAATGTAACCTTTCAGACTGGCCTTTCTTCTTGTCAGAATCTCTGCGCTCCAATCCAGTCCACACTGCTACCAAAATTTCTTGATCAAACACATACCCCATGTGTTTCCATACTGTACACACAAAACATAAATCCTTCAGAGGAGGGAGCTTTTAAAATTTGATTCCGACATCTGCCTCATTCTTATAACTTATACAGGCCATGTTTTAAAATTTGGGCTTAATATATTTGATTTTTTTTTCAATTTTGAAAGGAAATGCATTAAAAAGAATGTCTCTTACCCAATGTCCTTCAGCTATCCAGTTCCTCCATCCCAGACGACAACCAACGTTAATCAACTTACGTGTGCTGCCAAATATTTTGGACACATACAGGTGAATATGTTTGTAGATTATTTTCTCCCTTCGAAATCATTATATTATATATTATTATTATAAATGCTGACCGGATAATATGTTCTGATGCCTGCCTTCCTCTGTATCCTAACCAAATGACCTATATGTCCAAATTCACACCCTGCCACCAGTTCATTTAGTTTTTATATTTTATGTTTTGCCTGCATGGTACCAGAAGAGGGTGCTGCATCCCCAGGAACTGGAGATGAGCATGGTTGTAAGACACCATGTGGGTTCTGGGAACTGCTCCCGCGTTCTCCGCAAGAGCCACAAGTGCTGAGCCTCTGGGCCATCTCTTCAGCCCCTCAATTCTCATCTTTTCAAACGCCTTTGAAAACCCAGTACAAACAAGGATAGTCTCTCTTCTCCAAACAGTCTCGTACATAGACTCTTGCTTTATTATATGATAACTGGTTTTTAGATTCTTATCTCTCTTTTTGTTAAAATATAAACATGACAGGGATAGGGGCTTTTATCCCTAATTCCCTTATGCCAAGTATACCCAGGCAGTCAATAAATGACTGTCGTCTAAATAAACACCAGCACGTTTCATTTTAAAACGTGATGTTTTCCACATCTGCATTTCCTTTCAGAGCGCCATCACCAGGCCACATCCCCACGAGAGAAAAGAACTCGGCTGTTTCTTCTCAAATTCTACAGCTGGTCTAAAATTACGTGCGGCCAGGCAACAGTGTGGCCCTACTGGCATTATAAGGCAGGAGGCTTTAAGTGACGTGACAGACTCAAGCTCTGACCGAGAAACAATCAATTAACTCCAAATCAGAGCATCCAGGAAATTACAGGCAAGGGACCAGGAAAGAAAATAAATCATTTTTTTTCTTTTTTGAGACAGAGTTTCTCTGTATAGATAATCAACAATGTTAAACTCGAAAGTTCATTTTTGCAGAGTTCCAAATTCCTCTCTCACTTGAAGAAAAGAAGGAATGCCATTGATCATTTTCCGATGACGAAGAAAGGTACAAATGAGCAATGTTTTTAAAAGAAGACAAAAAAGGCCTCAAGGAAGATGAAAATGCAATGAGTAGGACATGCCCACCGAGGGACACCAACCGTGAACAATTAGAAGGTGCAGAAAACGCTACTTTAAAAGGCGATCTACCAACCACAGGCGATATATAAACTATCCGCAATACATAAACTATACTTAGAACCTTTTTACTCCTATGAAAACCATTTGGCTGTTAACCGAATGAGCTCGGTTATCTTAAAAGTCTCATTATTTATGCCAAAGGGCTCATTTCTATAGGTAATTCTTAATTCCGTTTTGTGAAATAACCCGACTCATTCAAAGCAAAAGGAAAAAAAAATCATCTGCTAAAAATATGTTGCCAAAACTTCTACCACTGGGATTACTATACTCAGAAATCAATGTGTCAGACTCGGAAAAGGCAATTGAACCAAAAGAACTAAATACTCACTACTCAACCCAAAGCCCAACAGCTCTTGTGTGTGAGAGACACTAATTTTCTCTTTCTAGTCAATTCCACGAGGCAGGCGATACATCTGTGAGCTCCATATGCTTTGCGCCCAACAGGAAGGAAGGCGCTCCTACTACTGAAAATATTAAAATAGAGTCGATAATAAATGGAAGCGATTGTTCCAAAATGATAGCCTTTTAACCAAAATATGTGTTTAATACAGGACTAAACCAAAGTGGCCTACTTCAATCCACTGAGAGCTTCCCAATTATGAAAGGCTAGGCAATAAAATGAAATTATAATAAAATCTACTTCCAGTTTAAGAAAACTAAAGTTCATATATTTAACTACTAAGAGGCGAACGCACAGAAACCAACATCACATCAGTTCATTGGCTTTGGAATTAGCATTAACTTGTTAAAATCTCCAAGAGCATCTGAAATCCAATGTTCCCCTTCCCTCATAGCCACAGATGCAAAATCAAGGTAAGAACGCTGGTCCTACAAAATATCCATGGAAAAGCATGATCCCCACCAATTTAAACCTCACCCTCTAAATGCAAGTAAGAAAAGGACCTAAACACGGGAGCAATCCTGACGTTCATTCTTCATCCTACAGGAAAATCTTCAATGATCTTAGAAGTATACTAAGAACGCACGTTATCAAAACCTATTGTATATATTTTATAGGAGTTATAATAGATGTTCCAAAATTAAGAGATTAGTTTAGAAATCTTAACAAAAATATCATCAGAGGGAAATTTCCCCCGAACAGCTGTGTAATCTGTCATCATCTCTTTCTACAGCTGGTCATGAATGAAATCCTAGATTCTACTACGCAGAACAAATGAAGCCATTAATTGAAAGCATTCAAATTGAAACGGAGGAGGTGGGGGCGGTGAGAGGGGAGGCAGCGCCTGTTAAACCCAGTGAGAAAACAAAATAATAGCACGAAATTGAGTGCGCATGCAACTGATTTTAACAGGTATCTTAATAGTGCAAGTCACCGGCTGTTCAGAGGCTTGCGAAAACACAGGTACACACACCCACGGACTCAGAACCTACAGAACAGGTGGATCCGCAGAAATCTCCACAGGAGGGAACTAAACAGGATCCAGTTTAATTATTCACCAGGGCAGCCTTTCACTTCACCCAGAGATAAAACCCTGGAGCCTCTTTTTAGATCCGCCCTGGCAACTCTGCAGACGCGGGGTTTCTTTCCAGAAAAGCGAAATCTGACATGTCCATCACTGGGCGTGAAGAGAATTCATCTCCATGCAAGCAAAGGAGTGTCGGAGGCGGATTAGTTCAGGGACAGGGACCGGGGGTGGCTCTCCGGGGATGAGAGAGATGCACTGTCCAGCGGGTCAGAAGTCGGGGTCCCGGGTCTGGGAGCGCAGGAATTGGGGGGGGGGGGGGGGGCGAGGGGCCCAGGAGGCGAGCACAGGACGCCCTACCCGGCACGAGGCAGGAGACTGGCTGCAAGTGCCCGGAGGGCTCCGACCCGGGATCGTTCGGGCTGAGCCCGAGGGGAGCGGGCGAGGAGCAGGTGAGGGAGGGCCGTACCTGGTACTCGGGGTACTCAAACATGTAGCTCATGCTACACTTGTTCTCCTCGAAGTCGAAGAAGACATCCCACACCCCCAGGGTGGCCAGAACCACCATGAAGGCATAGAACGCCAGGTTCCAGAGGCTGACTGAGTGCAGGAACATGGTGCTGCTGAGCGCCTCTCCACGGCCGTCCAAGCCCAGCCGCCCAGACCGAGCCAGGGAAAAGCCGCCCGTGCCAAGCCGTGCCCAGCAGAGCAGCCGCGCCCGCGCGTGCGCGGAGACCGCCAGCAGCCCCTCCCCTTCGGCCGCCCCGCTCAGCGCGCCTGCGCACAGCCAGCCCGCGGCGCCGCCCACGGAGGAGGCGTTTGCAGCGGGAGCGCGAACGTGCGCCCCGGGGAGGTGGGAGTGGGAAACCGGAGTGGGTTGGGCTGGAGAGCGTGGAGAGAAACGGGAGGGGGCGAGGAAGAAGGGAAATAGGGTGGGGAGGAAGGGAGGAGGGATGGGAGCGCGGGATCCCGGAGGCAGGAGGGAGGGATGGGCCGGGTGGGTACCAAAGGCTTTGGCCAGGGCCAAGGATAACGCCCCGGAGTGCAGAGAATGTTTATGATCCAGTATTGACTGGCCAAGGGAGGCGGGCAGCACATTAAAAGCTTGTCCAGTGGCTGTCACATCACAGACACCATTCCCTGCAACAGTTCAAAAAAAATCCTTTCCTGATTGATTTCGAACCGCCTCGGGTCTCCGCCGTTTCATCCCAAGCCTTCTTGGACCAGTTAGCTTGACTCCGGAGGAGACAAATCGCTTTCACCCGGCCTTTTAGACCACCAACTTGGGGCCCTATGTAGGTAATAACACTTGAAAGCACCGACTCATTAAAACAAGACCCAGAGGAAACCCTGTTCTTGGTGGAAGTCTAAGTCACGCGAGGGGTGGTCTTTAAAAGACACTACGAAAATGCCCACCAGCATGGACGTCCCAGTTGGTTTACGCTGGATGAGGTTGACACTAACTGGTGCTCTCTGGATCCTCCATGTCTCTGGGGGATCGGTTCTATATTGGCGTTAGAAGGCGATTTTGTCCAAGCTTTCATTTAGAAGGATTTCACTTTGCCTTTACACAAAGGGTTTTTTTTTTTTTTAAAGGCAGGACAAACCCGTTTGCAATACCTATAACAGCTTCAAAACGCTCTCTCTCTCTCTCTCTCTCTCTCTCTCTCTCTCTCTCTCTCTCTCTCTGTGTGTGTGTGTGTGTGTGTGTGTGTGTGTGTTAACTTCAGGATTTTAGAATAATTTTTGGCGTTGACTCAATTTCATTTTACTTAGACTAATTTTCTAGCATATATCCTGAGAAAATTGGCTATGATACATGAAATCAAAGAATTTTATCACTGAAAAGCAGTGTATTGCTTATCTTAAACAAAACACCCTCCTATTCACACTAAGAAGCTATGACCCAAGTTAAAATGATAGGCTAGATATTTTTACCATACACAGAGACACTCACAGGGCCAGGCAAATACCGTTAGCTACAGGATATGGGATATTTGCGAAGAAAGAAAGGAACGGGGAAATGGACAGGTAAGCCGTTTTGACACACGGAGGTAGATTTGGAAGGGCCAGAATAACATGTGAGGGAACCCTGGGTAATATTAACTAGCGGGGTTAATGGCTAACTAATACGAATTTAAGGCATGCCATGTATGTTTCTGATGGTGTGGTGTGCACACTCAGTGTGTTAGATACTTGTCTTTACAGTGTGACAGTACCCTTGCACAAGTGACTTTACAAAGGGTTTAACTCACAGTTTCAAGGCCTGACATGGCCTAGGATTTAAAGCAGCAGGGGATTTATGGCAGCAGCACCTGAGGCAGGGGATTGACAGATTGCACCTACACACAAGAAGCAAAGAGAGAGAACAACGCTAGAGCCCAGTTCCCTTTTTTGTTTTTTTACCCCGTTGGGAAGTTAGTGTGGGTTTTCCGACTTTAGGTAACTTAATCTAGAAAACCACTCCCAGACGTGTCCAAAGATGTGTCTCCAAGGTGATTCTAAATTCTAGCCAGCTGACAAAATTAACCTTCACGGCCCTACTCGTCAACTTGATACCTCAACAATTAGACTTTAAAACAATTACCTTCCACCTCGTGTTTCCACAAGATCACAGCCATCTCATAATGCAGATGCGTTTAGTTCAACTTCAAAAGTCCCCCATACTACTCAAAAGTGTCTTTTCTGAGGCTAGAGCAATCCCTTAACTGTGAACCCCTATAAAACAGAAACTTCGTTACATACGCTGGCACCGAGTGAACATTCTCTTTCCCAAAGGGGAGAACTAGGAAAGATCACACCAAAGCAGACCAAATCCCCACAGAGCAAACGTCTTATTCTGCATCTCCATGTCAGGCATCTGCAGCTCATGATGAAATCATCTGGGTTCTAAAGGGCCTAGGTATCCTGGCCCTCCTGCTGTGCTGCCTGCGGGACACAAAGAGTCCCTTTAAAAGAAAGTTTTATCTCTTAATTTTGTGTATGAATGTTTCGCCTGCACATCCTGCATATATGCATGTAGTGCCCAGAGACCAGAAGACACTGGATCCTCCACAAGTGGAGTTCCGTTAGTTACAGACAGATGTCAATTGTCACAGAGGTGCTGGGAACTGAACCCAGGTCCTCTGCAAGAGAAACAGATGCTCTTAAGCACGGAGCCATCTCTCCAGCCTCACAGCCTCTCTTGTCAGCTCCACTCCACTCCACTCCGGCGTCTTTGACAGACGTTCCATGATTCCGGCATCTCCAACATCCTAGGGTCTCTGCTGCAGCTTGGAATTCACTTTCACAGCTTCAGGCAACAGCATCTCAGGACCTCCTGCAGCGCACAACGCCCGTCTGCACTCTATGCGCTACCATACAGTTCATGAGCTTCTGGCAAGGGGCTGCAGGTTAAAACATACAAAGACACACAGAGACAGAAACACAAACCTCTAGTCACTGGTAAGAAGCCCTTTATTCAATAGCACCACAGAGGCTTATATACCAACAGTCAGGTGGGTCAACAGGTGAAAACCTTGTCCTCTGATCCTCAAGGCAAGGCAACACGTGCTCGTGAAGCAGAGCTGGTAAACAACTTTGACACAGCTTTCAGTAACTCAAATCAGAAGGAAAGTAAAGATCTCTAGCAGGGAAGAGCAGCTGGAGGCCAGGACTCCAAATGGTCCCAACACCTCCAACCCTGCAGTATTGCCTAGGCTCAGTTGCTCTCTGAATCTATGGTAGGAGAGTCCATGATCTCCTTAATCTTGCCTCTTCCATGCCTACCCGACTAGTGCCATGGAGATAGCATTTCTAAGTTCTACTGCCAGCTCAGGGTGGAGCCTTGTCTTCTTGGACCACAGCTAGAGCAGCCTATTCTTGCTAACCAGAGGGCCTCCTTAGGTAGTTGCTTTCCAGAAGCGAGGACCCCCTCCAGCTAGCATTCTCAGCTTGGGCTCTGCTTTCAAATGAATTTTTGCTTTGCAACAAAAGCTGCAGCCTTTGATGGGTGGAGCCTTGCCCTCGTGGCGTTTGTCTCTTGTCCAAGTGAAGAGCAGGTGATTTCTCTTGGACAATTAAGCCTTGGTTTTAGTGTATGTCTTGACTATGACTTAAACTTGCCCAATCTCTCTCTCTCTCTCTCTCTCTCTCTCTCTCTCTCTCCCTCTCTCCCTCTCTCTCTCCCTCTCTCTCTTTCTATTTACAAATTATGCATTAAACAAAAAATTCTTTCCACCTGTTGCTCTTTTTTTTTAACTGTTGACCTAGGTAAATGTGATATCAGGCTGAATGCTAAACTGCCTTGAAATTTCCTCTGCCAAACAAATTAAAAAATGTGTTGCTTTGCTTTGCTGGTGATGCTGGTGGTTTGGGAGTTGTTGTTGTTATTGTTTTGAGGCAGGGTCTCACTCCACAGCCCTGATTGGACTGGAATCGGTCCTCACTATAAAAGACTTAGGAAGGATTTGGCGTATATAGGACAGGGAAGATAAACTAGAGCCAGGAACAGAGTAGACAAAGGAATTCAAGTTTTATTCGTGTCTTGGGGTTTCTATTTCTGTGAAGGGACACCGTGACCACAGCAACTCTTATAAAGGAAAGCGTTTAAGTGAGGCTGGCTTACAGTTCAGAGGTTTAGTCCATTATCAAAAAGCTAGAAATAGACCTATTTCTTAAAAGCAGTCCAGGATGGCCTTGGACTTGTGGTCTTTGTGTTTCAGTCCCTCAAACACTGAGGTTACAGGCATGAGCTACTCTGCCTGACTTCATCTGCCATTTTTTTGGTAATTTTTAAAAAAAAAATATTTATTTATTTATGTATTATGTATACACTATTCTGTGTGCATGTATGCCTGCAGGCCAGAAGAGGGCACTAGCCCTCATTACAGATGGTTGTGAATCATCATGTGGTTGTTGGGAACTGAACTCAGGACCTTTGGAAGAGAAGAAGGCAATGCTTTTAACCATTGAGCCCTTTTTGGTAATGTTTTATCTGACTTTATGTACTCAAGTTCCAGTTTTGAAATTTCTTCAGGTAGTTTAGACATGTTTCCAGAACTTGGTTGTGGCTCAGCTGTCAGTGCGCTAGCCTAGTAAGAATGAATCCAGCACTGCAAAGTCCTGAGTGGTGGGACCAATCTGTAACCTTAGCATTTGGAAGACAAACGTCCTTGGCTACAAGGTGAGTTCCCGCACCAGCCTGAGCTACAGACCCTATCTCAAAGCAACAAACAAAACCAAAACAACAAAAGACATATTTTCCAAAGACTATTTCTCTCCTGTATTACCCAGGATTACTCACTTCTTCCATATAGTCCATATAATGGCTCTCTTACGATCCCCTTATTACACTATAATTTTGGTTTACAAATTCACCCTTAACAAGAATTAAAGGCTGTAGGGTCCCGTGCTTTCCTTGCGAAGCTGCAAGTGTGGCTGGAGCCATGTATGACTCCGGGTTTTATAAATTTAGAAGGATATCTTTCATCTGCAGGGAGAATGCTATGACATTTGTGTGGAGGTCGGGGGGCGGGGCCAGCTCACTCCTTCCAACACGTGGGCTATGGAGATCAAACTCACTCAGGTACTCAAGCTTGGCCAGCGCGCACCTTTACCTGCCGAGCCATCTCGAAAGCCTTGGGGTTTTCGGATATAAAAATAGCCTGGAAATTTGGGGTCACTTCCACATCTTCGGGATTTTTGCGTCTGAGTCTGTGAATGGTCACCGCTTACGAGTGAGGCTCGGCCACT